TGTGTATATGTATATGTGCAGTGTTTCCTCTAGGATAATTTTTTCCAGCAGTTACTTGTGCGTGTGTGTCAAAAGTTTATACTACCGGTCAAAAGTTTTAGAACACCTACTCATTCAAGGGTTTTCTTTATTTTTACTATTTTTTACGTTGTATAATAATAGTGAAGACATCAAAACTATGAAATAACACATATGGAATCATGTAGTAACCAAAAACGTGTTAAGCAAATCAAAATACATTTTAGATTTTAGATTCTTCAAAGTAGCCATCCTTTGCCTTGATGACAGCTTTGCACGCTCTTGGCATTCTCTCAACCAGCTTCATGACGAATGCTTTTCCAACAGTCTTGAAGGAGTTCCCGCATATGCTGAGCACTTGTTGGCTGCTTTTCCTTCACTCTGCGGTCCGACTCATCCCAAACCATCTCAATTGGGTTGAGGTCGGGGGATTGTTGAGGCCAAGTCATCTGATGCAGCACTCCATCACTCTCCTTGGTCAAATAGCCCTTACACAGCCTGGAGGTGTGTTTTGGGTCATTATACTGTTGAAAAACAAATGATAGTCCCACTAAGCGCAAACCAGATGGGATGGCATATCGCTGTAGAATGCTGTGGTAGCCATGCTGATTAAGTGTGCCTTGAATTCTAAATGAATCACTGACAGTGTAACAAGTAAAGCACCCCCACACCATCACACCTCCTCCTCCATGCTTCACGGTGGGAACCACAGATGCGGAGATCATCCGTTCACCTACTCTGCGTCTCACAAAGATACAGTGGTTGGAACCAAAAATCTCATATTTGGACTCCAGACCAAAGGACAAATTTCCACAGGTCTAATGTTCTTTGCTCGTGTTTCTTGACCAAAGCAAGTCTCTTCTTCTTATTGGTGTCCTTTGGTAGTGGTTTCTTTGCAGCAATTCGACCATGAAGGCCTGATTCACGCAGTCTCCTCTGAACAGTTGATGTTGAGATGTGTCTGTTACTTGAACTCTGTGAAGCATTTATTTGGGCTGCAATCTGAGGTGCAGTTAACTCTAATGAACTTATCCTCAGCAGCAGAGGTAACTCTGGGTCTTCCTTTCCTGTGGCAGTCCTCATGAGAGCCAGTTTCATCATAGCGCTTGATGGTTTTTGCGACTGCACTTGAAGAAACTTTCCAAGTTCTTGAAATTGTCCGGATTGACTGACCTTCATGTCTTGTCCCGTGTAGCTCAGTTAGTAGAGCATGGCATTTGCAACGCCAGGGTTGTGGGTTCCATTCCCACAGGGGGCCAATATGGTAAATGTATGCACTCACTAACTGTTAGTCGCTCTGGACAAGAGCGTCTGCTAAATATGCAAATTGAAATTGAGAGAATTAAAGTAATGATGGACTGTCATTTCTCTTTGCTTATTTGAGCTGTTCTTGCCATAATATGGACTTGTTATTTTACCAAATAAGGCTCTCTTCTGTAAACCCCCCCTACTTTGTCACAACGCAACTGATTGGCTCAAACGCATTAAGAAGGAAATAAATTCCACAAATGAACTTTTAACAAGGCACACCTGTTAATTGAAATAAATTCCAGGTGACTACCTCATGAAGCTGGTTGAGAGAATGCAAAGAGTGTGCAAAGCTGTCATCAAGGCAATGAGTGGCTACTTTGAAGAATATAAAATATATTTTGATTTGTTTAACACTTTTTTGGTTACTGCATGATTCCATATGTTTTATTTCGTAGTTTTGATGTCTTCACTATTATTCTACCATGTAGAAAATAGTAAAAAATGAAGAAAAACCCTGGAATGAGTAGGTGTGTCCAAACTTTTGACTGATACTGTACGTACTGCCAAATTCTCTAAAACGATGTTGGAGGCGGCATATGGGTTGAGAAATTAACATTCAATTATCTGGCAACAGCTCTGGGCCCAGATTCACAAAACACTTCTTACGTAGAAACTTAAGAAGCTTCTTAAGAAAAAAAAATAAGAAGTTCGGAAGATAGTTCGGAAGTGCAATTCCTCAACAATATCTTAAGATTTAATGATTTTCTTATGAATTTCTCAAATATCTTCTTACGAATCTTCTTAAGATGTTTGATGCTAGGCAACCAATTTATCTAATTAGCTAATTATCTAGCTAGAAATGGCAATCATGTTAGCATATTTCGTACTGAGATTACTGTTCTAAAACATGTTCTTGGGTTTAAAATAATCAATACTGAAACTTTCAGATGAAGTTTGTGAGTGAATTTGTCACGTCTCCTCCCGTTGCTCCCCTTCGCCGGTCTACTGTGCCACCGGTCTGAGCGCATCACCTCGGCAACACCGGAATGGAACCCCAACGCACCCTAATCACCTCCAGCACACCTGCACCTCATCATCTCATCACCACCCCTATTTAGCCCTGGACTGTTCCTTATGATGTTGTGTGTGATTGTTTAGCTTCGTGTCCTCTATCTTCTGTTATTTCTCTTTGTCATTGTTTTAGGAAACCTTGACCTTGTTAATTCCTGCGTCTGCGTCCTGCCTCTTCGTGTACTCAGTACTCGTCACAGAATTAAACATGTTCAGTTGCTTTCATGAGCTTATTCTCTACTGCCCTGAGTTTAAGACAAGGGTTTAGCTATCTTGGAGTTGTCTTAACTTTTTGCTTAAGGAGAAACATAAGAAATAGCGCAATAACATTTCCAATATCCTTTTTGAGGAATAGCAACTTTGCTTAACTTTCTTCTTGAATCTATAGTTAATGGAAAAATGTCAGTTAAGAAGAAATGTGTTCATAACAAGTTTTTGTGAATCTGGACCCTGGTGGACGTTCCTGCAGTCAGCATGCCACTTGCACTCTCCCTCAAAACTTGAGACATCTGTGGCATTGTGTTGTGTGACAAAACTGCACATTTTAATGTGTCCTTTTAGTGTCCCCAGCACAAGGTGCACCTGTGTAATTATCATGCTGTTTTATCAGCTTCTTCATATGCCACACCTGTCAGGTGGATGGATTATTTTGCCAAATGAGAAATGCTCACTAAAAGGGATTTAAACAAATTTGTGCCAAGATTTGAGAGAAATACGTTTTTGTGCGTATGGAACATTTCTGGGATCTCTTATTTCAGCTCATGAAACATGGGACCAACACTTTACATGTTGTGTTTATATTTTTGTTTTGTGTAAATTTACAGTACCAGTCAAACGATTGGACACACCTACTCATTCAAGGGTTTTTTCTTTATTTTTACTATTTTCTATTGTAGAATAATTGTAAACACATCAAAACTATGAAATAACACATGGAATCATGTAGTAACCAAAAAAGTGCTAAACAAATCAAAATATATTTAATATTTTATATTCTTCAAAATAGCCACTCATTGCCTTGATGACAGCTTTGCACACTCTTTGCATTCTCTCAACCAGCTTCATGAGGTAGTCACCTGGAATGCATTTCAATTAACAGGCGTGCCTTGTTAAAAGTTAACTTGTGGAATTTTTTTCCTTCTTAATGCGTTTCAGCCAATCAGTTGTGACAAGGTAAGGGTGGTATACAGAAGATAGCCCTATTTGGTAATAGACCAAGTCCATATTATGGCAAGAACAGCTCAAATAAGCAAAAAGAAACAACAGTGAATCATTACTTGAAGACATGAAGGTCAGTCAATCTGGAACATTTCAAAAACTTTGAAAGTTTCTTCAAGTGCAGTCGCAAAAACCATGATGAAACTGGCTCTCATGAGGACTGCCACAGGAATGGAAGACCCCGAGTTACCTCTGCTGCAGAGGATATGTTCATAAAGAGTTAACTGCACCTCAGATTGCAGCCCAAATAAATGCTTCACAGAGTTCAAGTCACAGACACATCTCAACATCAACTGTTCAGAGGGGACTGTGTGATTCAGGCCTTCATGGTTGCATTGTTGTAAAGAAACCACTACTAAAGCACACCAATAATAAGAAGAGACCTGCTTGTGTCAGGAAACACGAGCAATTAGACCGGTGGAAATCTGTCCTTTGGTCTGAAGTCCAAATTTAGATGTATATATACATCTAAATTATATAAATGCTAAATGCATATAGGGGAAACACTAGTGTTTGTGTAGCCTAAGCGCCTAACGTGCGCACATGACCATAGTGACCATAGTCAAATGACCATAGTCAAAGATGACTCTCTCTCTCTCTCTCTCTCTCTCTCTCTCTCTCTCTCTCTGTCTCTCTCTGTCTCTCTCTCTCTCTCTCTCTCTCTGTCTCTCTCTCTATCTCTCTCTCTCTCTCTCTCTCTCTCATCTCTCTCTCGGTCTCTCTCTCTCTCTCTCTCTCTCTCTCTCTCTCTCTCTCTCTCTCTCTTTCTCTCTTCTCTCTCTCTCTCTCTCTCTGGATGATGCTAGCGGCAGGGCAGGGTATTCTTAGCATATCAAACCCGGAGAGCTGGGGAGACGTGACAGGGGAACCCACACAGGGCAGGCGTCTCTAATGGAGTAGAGGGAGAGAGAGGTGGAGACTAGCTCCTAGCAGACCTCCCAGCACAGTGTAGCCTTCTGATGTGCTTACTGCACCAGGCTGAGCCCAGGGGGAGCTGGGTCTGTTTTAGGACATCCAGTGTGACCACAGCCCAGGGTCACAGTCAGGGCCTGGTTATGGGGACACAGACAGCCAGGGCCGGTTTCCCGGACACAGATTAAGCCTAGACCTGGACTAAAAAGCATTGTCAATGGAGAATCTGTGGTCACTCACTGAATGTTCATGCTCTGGGAAACCGGCCCTAGGTGTTTCCCCTAGATTTGATCTTAGGCATAGTGCAAAGTCTCCCAAAACAGCATCCAGGGCTGGAGACACTGAGGTCTAGAGTTTACCCAGTCATATAATATAGCTTCATCCATTAAACACAACACACACGACATATCAAATGAACGGTGTCCTCCATTTCTTTGATGTATCCAGATTTTCATTGGTGATGTAAAAATGTGTGTTATAGTGGATGAGTGTGTCTGGTTAACTTCTATTTGTTGTGTGTTTCCTTGCAGGGCATCAACATTGTGAAGCCAAGTAATGCTGAGACCGCCCCTGTTGCCAACCCAGGGATGTACCAGCTGGACATCATTCTGAAGAAAGGACACAACCTCGCCATCAGGGACAGAGGAGGTAGGAACTACTGCTGGGGTATCTCCCTCTCTCTGTCTCTGTCCCTGTCTCTCTCTCTCTCTCTCTCTCTCTCTCTCTCTCTCTCTCTCTCTCTCTCTCTCTCTCTCTCTCTCTCAATTCAATTCAATTCAATTCAATTCAATAGACTTTATTGACATGGCAAGTAAAATTACTTACATTGTCAAAGTATACATATAACAAAAATGGTGGGACCAACAGCAATAATAATAGTAGTAGTGGAAATGGGATTACCATTAACAGCAACTACAACAACAATATTAATGAGAATAACAATACATTAAAGCAATAGTAGTCGACCAATCTCAACATGACTGAGAAGACATATTACATGCTATGAAAGCCAAAACAAAACAGGAAATATTATTGACATTACATTACAATTTTCACTGGCTGTCCCTCAGGTTGTGGCAGGAGGACACATATTTGGCTGCCAAAATTGCACATTTTGGCTTTTCACCCAATAAATATTTTATAGTTTCAAATTCGTTGTACTGAATGATAATTTTGGGAAAGAAAGATTATCTTAGGTCTGAGTATTTGTCACAGTGTAATAGGAAATGCAGCTCTGTCTCTACCTCTCCCCGGGGGCAGAGTGAGCACAGCCTGTCTTCTCTGGGCAGCCAGGTTTGCCTGTGACGACCAGTCTCTATAGCCAGACTGTGCTCACTGAGTCTGTACCTAGTCAGTGTTTTTCTCAGTTTTCTATCAGTCACAGTGGTCAGATAGTCTGCCACCATGTACTGTCTGTTTAGAGCCAAATAGCATTGAAGTTTACTTTGATTTTTTGTGGTGTCTTTCCAATAGGTGATATATTTTTATTTTTGCTTTGTGATGATTTGGTTGGGCCAGATTTTCTGAGTGCTGTCCTGAGGCTCTATGAGGTTGGTTTTGGTTAGTGAACTGAGCCTCAGAACCAGCTGGCTGAGGGGACTCTTCTCTTGTTTCATCTCTTGACATAGTAGAGCTGTGTGATGGAATGTTTTGGGGTCACTTGTTTTTAGATGGTTGTAAAATTTGATGGCTCTTTTTTCTATTCGAATAAGGAGGGGGTATTGGCCCAATTCTGCTCTACATGCGTTATTTGGAGTTTTTCTTTGCACTTGCAATACAGTCTTGCAAAACTCTGCATGCAGTATTTCGATTGGATGTTTGTCCCATTTGGTAAATTCAGTATTAGAGAGCGGACCCCATACTTCGCTGCCATATAGAGCAATTGGTTCTATAACTGATTGGAACATTTTGAGCCAGATTCTAATCGGAATTTCGATTTTAATATTCCTTTTAATGGCATAGAATGCTCTTCTTGCTTTGTCTCTCAGCTCATTCACAGCCATGTGAAAGCTACCTGTGTTGCTGATATTTAGTCCTAGATATGTGTAATTTTTGGTGTGTTCTAATAGAACTGTGTCCAAATAGAATTTATATTTGTCATCCTGATTTCCTGACCTTTTTTGGAATATCATTATATTCATTTTTTTTTTTAGATTAACGGAATTCTGCATGCAGAGTCTCAATTTGGTGTTCGTCCCATTTTGTGAATTCTTGGTTGGTGAGCAGACCCCAGACCTCACAACATGAAAGGGCAATGGGTTCTATAACTTATTCAAGTATTTTATGCCAGAACCTAATTGGTATGTCAAATTGTATGTTCCTTTTGATGGCATAGAAGGCCCTTCTTGCCTTGTCTCTCAGAAGAGTTCGCAGCTTTGTGGAAGTTACCTGTGGCGCTGATGTTTAGACTGAGGTATTTATCGTTTTTTGTGTGCTCTAGGGCAACGGTGTCTAGATGGAATTTGTATTTGTGGTCCCAGGCAAATTGACCTTTTTTGGAACAACATTATTTTTGTCTTACTGAGATATACTGTCAGAGCCCAGGTCTGACAGAATCTGTGCAGAAGATCTAGGTGCTGCTGTAGACCCTCTTTGGTTGTGGACAGACGCACCAGATCATCAGCAAACAGTAGACATTTGTCTTCAGATTCTAGTAGGGTGAGGCCGGGTGCTGCAGACTGTTCTAGTGCCCTCGCCAATTCGTTGATATATATGTTGAAGAGGGTGGGGCTTAAGCTGCATCACTGTCTCACCCCATGGCACTGTGGAAAGAAATGTGTGTGTTTTTTGCCAATTTTAACCACACACTTGTTTTTCGTGTACATGGAATTTATAATGTTGTATGTTTTTCCCCCAACACCATTTTCCATCAATTTGTATAGCATATCCTCATGCCAAATTGAGTCAAAAGCTTTTTTGAAATCAACAAAGCATGAGAAGACCTTGCCTTTGTTTTGGTTTGTTTATTTGTCAATTAGGGTGTGCAGGGTTAATACGTGATCTGTCGTACGGTAATTTGGTAAAAAGCCAATTTGACATTTGCTCAGTACATTGTTTTCACTGAGGAAATGTACGAGTCTGCTGTTAATGATAATGCAGAGGATTTTTCCCAAGGTTGCTGTTGACGCATATCCCACAGTAGTTATTGGGATCACATTTGTCTCCACTTTTGTGGATTGGGGTGATCAGTCCTTGGTTCCAAATATTGGTGAAGATGCCAGAGCTAAGGATGATGTTAAAGAGTTTAAGTATAGCCAATTGGAATTTGTGGTCTGTATATTTTATCATTTCATTCAGGATACCATCAACACCACAGGCCTTTTTGTGTTGGAGGGTTTGTATTTTGTCCTGTAGTTCATTCAATGTAATTGGAGAATCCAGTGGGTTCTGGTAGTCTTTAATAGTTGATTCTAAGATGCGTTTGCTGTTTGTTCTTTGTTATAGGGCCAAAAAGATTGGAGAAGTGGTTTACACATACATCTCCGTTTTGGATAGATAACTCTTCGTGTTGTTGTTTGTTTAGTGTTTTCCAATTTTCCCAGAATCAATCAATCAATCACATTTTATTTATAAAGCCCTTTTTACATCAGCAGATGTCACAAAGTGCTATACAGAAACCCAGCCTAAAACCCCAAACAGCAAGCAATGCAGATGTAGAAGCACGGTGGCTAGGAAAAACTCCCTAGAAAGGCAGAAACCTAGGAAGAGACCTAGAGAGGAACCAGGCTCTGAGGGGTGGCAAGTCCCCTTCTGGCTGTGCCGGGTGGAGATTATTAAAGTACGTGGCCATTAAGGCCATATTTTTCTCCAAGATGTTCAAACGTTCATAGATGACCAGCAGGGTCAAATAATAATCACAGAGGTTGTAGAGGTTGCAACAGGTCAGTACATCAGGAGTAAATGTCACTTGGCTTTTCATAGCCGGGCATTTAGAGGTTCAAATAGCAGGTGCGGTAGAGAGAGATAGTTGAACACAGCAGGTCTGGGACAAGGTAGCACGTCCGGTGAACAGGTCAGGGTTCCGTAGCCGCAGGCAGAAGAGTGGACACTGGAGCTGCAGCATGACCAGGTGGACTGGGGACAGCAAGGAGTCATCAGGCCAGGTAGTCCTGAGGCATGGTCCTAGGGCTCAGGTCCTCCGGGATGGGAGGGAGCGAGAGAGAATTAGTCTATGGATTCTTCAATTACATTGAGCTGATTTCTGACATGCTGTTCCTTCTTTTTCCATAGAGTATTTCTGTATTGTTTTAGTGATTCACCATAGTGAAGGCTCAGGTTTTCTGGGTCTATATGGTTTTGGTTGGATAGGTTTCTCAATTTATTTCTTAGGTTTTTGCATTCGTCATCAAACCATTTGTCATCGTTGTTAATTTTCTTCGGTTTTCTGTTTGAAATGTTTAGATTTGATAGGGAAGCTGAGAGGTCAAATATACTGTTTAGGTTTTCTACTGCCAAGTTTATACCTTCACTATTACAGTGAAACGTTTTGTCCAGGAAGTTGTCTAAAAGAGATTGAATTTGTTGTTGCCTAATAGTTTTTTGGTACGTTTCCACACTACTTTCCTTCTATTTACATCATTTCTTAATATTATTCAGGTCCTTTGGCTTTGATGCCTTATGATTGAGTATTGCTCTGTTCAAGTAGACTGTGATTTTGCTGTGATCTGATAGGGGTGTCAGTGGGCTGACTGTGAACGCTCTGAGAGACTCTGGGTTGAGGTCAGTGATAAAGTAGTTTACAGTACTACTGCCAAGAGATGAGCTATAGGTGTACCTACTGTAGGAGTCCCCTCGAAGCCTACCATTGACTATGTACATACCCAGCGTGTGACAGAGCTGCAGGAGTTGTCACCCGTTTTTGTTGGTTATGTTGTCGTAGTTGTGCCTAGGGGGGCATATGGGGGAGGGAATGCTCTAAGATAACCTGCCTCTAAACTCTAAGATAACCTGCCTAAATGACTACCGACCCGTGGCACTGACGTCTGTAGCCATGAAGTGCTTTGAAAGACTGGTCATGGCTCACATCAACAGCATAATCCCAGAAACCCTAGACCCACTCCAATTTGCATACCGCCCCAACAGATCCACAGATGATGCAATCTCTATCGCACTCCACACTGCCCTTTCCCACCTGGACAAGAGGAACACCTACGTGAGAATGCTATTCATTGACTACAGCTCAGCATTCAACACCATAGTGCCCTCAAAGCTCATCACTAAGCTAAGGATCCTGGGACTAAACACCTCCCTCTGCAACTGGATCCTGGACTTCCTGACGGGCCGCCCCCAGGTGGTAAGGGTAGGTAACAACACATCTGCCACACTGATCCTCAACACGGGGGCCCCTCAGGGGTGCGTGCTCAGTCCCCTCCTGTACTCTCTGTTCACCCATGACTGCATGGCCAGGCACGACTCCAACACCATCATTAAGTTTGCCGACGACACAACAGTGGTAGGCCTGATCACCGACAACGATGAGACAGCCTATAGGGAGGAGGTCAGAGATCTGGCCGTGTGGTGCCAGGACAACAACCTCTCCCTCAACGTGACCAAGACAAAGGAGATGATTGTGGACTACAGGAAAAAAAAGAGGACTGAGCACGCCCCCATTCTCATCGACGGGGCTGTAGTGGAACAGGTTGAGAGCTTCAAGTTCCTTGGTGTCCACATCACCAACGAACTATCATGGTCCAAACACACCAAGACAGTCGTGAAGAGGGCACGACAAAGCCTATTCCCCCTCAGGAGACTAAAAAGATTTGGCATGGGTCCTCAGATCCTCAAAAAATTCTACAGCTGCACCATCGAGAGCATCCTGACTGGTTGCATCACCGCCTGGTATGGCAACTGCTTGGCCTCTGACCGCAAGGCACTACAGAGGGTAGTGCGTACGGCCCAGTACATCACTGGGGCAAAGCTCCCTGCCATCCAGGACCTCTATACCAGGCGGTGTCAGAGGAAGGCCCTCAAAATTGTCAAAGACTCCAGTCACCCTAGTCATAGACTGTTCTCTCTGCTACCGCACGGCAAGCGGTACCGGAGTGCCAAGTCTAGGTCCAAAAGACTTCTCAACAGCTTCTACCCCCAAGCCATAAGACTCCTGAACAGCTAATCATGGCTACCCGGACTATTTGCACTGCCCCCCCACCCCATCCTTTTTACGCTGCTGCTACTCTGTTAAGTATTTATGCATAGTCACTTTAACTCTACCCACATGTACATATTACCTCAACTAGCCGGTGCCCCCGCACATTGACTATGCAACGGTACCCCCCTGTATATATAGCCTCCCTACTGTCACTTTATTCTATTGTATATATAGCCTCCCTACTGTCACTTTATTTTTTACTTCTGCTCTTTTTTTTTTCTCAACACTTTTTTGTTGTTGTTTTATTCTTACTTTTTTGTTTAAAATAAATGCACTGTTGGTTAAGGGCTGTAAGTAAGCATTTCACTGTAATGTCTGCACCTGTTGTATTCGGCGCATGTGACCAATAAAATTTGATTTGATTTGATTTGATTTGATTTGATTTGCTGTCACCTCCAGGTAGGTGTTTGTCCCCCTGTGTGTTGAGGGTGTCAGGTTCTTGTCCAGTTCTGGCATTTAGGTCACCACAGACTAGTACATGTTCCTGGGCCTGGAAATGATTGATTTCCCCCTCCAGGATGGAGAAGCTGTCTTCATTAAAGTATGGGGATTCTAGTGGGGGGATATAGGTAGCACACAGGAGGACATTTTTCTCTGTTGAGATCATTTCTGCTCTATACCAAATTAGCAAACCCCCTGAGTCCCTTCCCTGTTTCACACCTAGAGGGCAACCAGTGGGTCTGTCTCCTCTATACCATGTTTCTTATAGGATGACAATGTCTGTATTTCTGATTTATTTGGTGAAGTCCAGGTTCCTGCTCTTTAGGCCAAAGGCAGATGACCTCAGGCCTTGGATATTCCAGGATGAGATAGTGATGGTTTTGTGTTCCATAAAGTGTCTTTCTCTCACTTTCTCACTTCACTCTCCTCACTCTGTCTCTTATCTCCCCCTCTGTGAACAGTCTATTTCACTCAAACACTTCCCTCCCCCTCTCTCCCTCTCTCTCTCGCTCTCTCTCTCTCTCTGTGAGTTCTTTCTTCAGTTTTCATGGTGTGACAAGAGAGGTAAGGGAGAACAGGAGTTAGTGAGAACAAATGTCATGCATTGACACATTCTCAAACTCGCAATTGATGTTTTACTTTATTGGATGATTATGACTAATTGTTTCTCTATTTTGTAACGGAGACAACTTTATTACGAATGTACAATTCTAATGAATTAAATCACATTTTGTGTAGACTCAAAGTAAGAGTTCAGCTACAGTTAACTGAATGTTTTTCTCAGGGAAGGTGAGACCGATCCTTGAGTGACACCCCAGCCTCAGCTTTCTCCCCAGCCTGCCTGTGTCTCTGTGCTGGAGGAGACATCTCCGTGACTGTCTCTTTGCTTGCTAGCCTTGTTTCAGCCTTGTTTCTGTAGTTCTGGTGGACAGAATTGGTCTCATTAGTAAGTGCTGTGACAAGGGCTATGGCAGGCCTGCTTAGTCTTTCTCACTCTCTCTCTTTCTCTCTCTCTCTCTCTCTCTCTCTCTCTCTCTCTCTCTCTCTCTCTCTCTCTCTCTCTCTCTCTCGCTCTCTCTCTCTCTCTCTGTCTCTCTGTCTGTCTGTCTCTCTCTCTCTCTCTCTCTCTCTCTCTCTCTCTCTCTCTCTCTCTCTCTCTCTCTCTCTCTCTCTCTCTCTCTCTCTCTCTCTCTCTCTCTCACCCCCACCCCCCACCCTTTGCCCTCAGAACAGCCTCAATTCGTTGGGGCATGGACTCTACATCCACAGGGATGCTGGCTCATGTTGACGCCAGTGCTTCCCACAGTTGTGTCAAGTTGGCTGGATGTCCTTCGGGTGGTGGACCATTCTTGATACACACGGGAAACTCATGAGCGTGAAAAACCCAGCTGCGATGCAGTTCTTGAGACAGTCAAACCACAATCCATGTCTCAATTATCAAGGCTTAAAAATCCTTCTTTAACCTCTCCTCCCCTTCATGTACACTAATTGGAGTGGACTTAACAAGTGACATCAATAAGGGATCATAGCTTTCACCTGGATTCACCTGGTCAGTCTATGTCATGGAAAGTGTGGGTGTTCCTAATGTTTTGAACACTCAGTGTAATTGCAGCCAGGGTCTGATGGGATGACTGTTAATGTCACGCCCTGGCTCTGGGGACTCTGTTATGTTGAGCCAGGGTGTGTAGAGTCTAGTTGATGTGTTTCTATGTTGGCCGGGGTGGTTCTCAATCAGAGGCAACGTGAATCAGCTGTTGCTTGTTGTCTCTTATTGGGAACCATACTTAGGTAGTCGTTTGGCATTTGTGTGGTGTGGTATCTTGTTCCGTGTTGGTTTGTGTATTTGACCGTGGACTTCACGTATTGTTTTGTTGTTTTTGTTCGTGTGGTGAATATAAATAAATTATGACAGACAAAATGAGAAAAAAAAATCCAGAAAATCACATTGTAGGATTTTTAATGAATTTATTTGCAAATTATGGTGGAAAATAAGTATTTGGTCAATAACAAAAGTTTCTCAATACTTTGTTATATACCCTTTGTTGGCAATGACACAGGTTAAACGTTTTATGTAAGTCTTCACAAGGTTTTCACACACTGTTGCTGGTATTTTGGCCCATTCCTCCATGCAGATCTCCTCTAGAGCAGTGATGTTTTGGGGCTGTCGCTGGGCAACACGGACTTTCAACTCCCTCCAAAGATTTTCTATGGGGTTGAGATCTGGAGACTGGCTAGGCCACTCCAGGACCTTGAAATGCTTCTTACGAAGCCACTCCTTCGTTGCCCGGGCGGTGTGTTTGGGATCATTGTCATGCTGAAAGACCCAGCCACGTTTCATCTTCAATGCCCTTGCTGATGGAAGGAGGTTTTCACTCAAAATCTCACGATACATGACCCCATTCATTCTTTCCTTTACACGGATCAGTCATCCTGGTCCCTTTGCAGAAAAACATCCCCAAAGCATGATGTTTCCACCCCCATACTTCACAGTAGATATGGTGTTCTTTGGATGCAACTCAGCATTCTTTGTCCTCCAAACACGATGAGTTGAGTTTTTACCAAAAAGTTATATTTTGGTTTCATCTGACCATATGACATTCTCCCAATCCTCTTCTGGATCATCCAAATGCACTCTAGCAAACTTCAGACGGGCCTGGACATGTACTGGCTTAAGCAGGGGGACACGTCTGGCACTGCAGGATTTGAGTCCCTGGCGGCGTAGTGTGTTACTGATGGTAGGCTTTGTTACTTTGGTCCCAGCTCTCTGCAGGTCATTCACTAGGTCCCCCCGTGTGGTTCTGGGATTTTTGCTCACCGTTCTTGTGATCATTTTGACCCCACGGGGTGAGATCATGCGTGGAGCCCCAGATCGAGGGAGATTATCAGTGGTCTTGTATGTCTTCCATTTCCTAATAATTGCTCCCACAGTTGATTTCTTCAAACCAAGCTGCTTAACTATTGCAGATTCAGTCTTCCCAGCCTGGTGCAGGTCTACAATTTTGTTTCTGGTGTCCTTTGACAGCTCTTTGGTCTTGGCCATAGTTGAGTTTGGAGTGTGACTGTTTGAGGTTGTGGACAGGTGTCTTTTATACTGATAACAAGTTCAAACAGGTGCCATTAATACAAGTAACGAGTGGAGGACAGAGGAGCCTCTTAAAGAAGAAGTTACAGGTCTGTGAGAGCCAGAAATCTTGCTTGTTTGTAGGTGACCAAATACTTATTTTCCACCATAATTTGCAAATAAATTCATTAAAAATCCTACAATGTGATTTTCTGGATTTTTTTTCCTCAATTTGTCTGTCATAGTTGACGTGTACCTATGATGAAAATTACAGGCCTTTCTCATCTTTTTAAGTGGGAGAACTTGCACAATTGGTGGCTGACTAAATACTTTTTTTCCCCACTGTATATTGTAGGAGGCCATAATTCTCCCTGATCATTCCTTTTCTCCCCACATAGACTTCAGGCCTTTGTTGTCTATTAGACCTGTCATAGAGGACAAAAAATATTCTCCCCCAGAGTGGCTCTCTCTCATCCAGAGATGACAAGGAATCCTGTGCTGCTCCATGGCACTGCCCAGCGTACACCTGACTGAGACATCAGGCTGTACCTCTCACTCATCTTCAATAACAGCAGACTGGCCTGCTTGGAAATAGCAGCAGAGCATCCTCTTAGCTTATGTTGCTCTTTTTCCTTGCTGTGTAAAGTCATCCAGTATATGTCTGTCTGTCTGTCTGTCTGTCTGTCTGTCTGTCTGTCTGTCTGTCTGTCTGTCTGTCTGTCTGTCTGTCTGTCTGTCTGTCTGTCGGTCGGTCGGTCTGTCTGTCTATGTTCATAGACCTCCACTCCTTGACAATTGACCAGTAACCTTTCTTTGTCACATAACTCATCAATAATACATCATTCTCCTAGGCCTATTGCACTCACCCCTGTCCAAATTGTCACTGATCGTGAGCTTCCAATGACAACCTCTGTGTGAGACGCTACATGGCTTTGACCGGGTAAGGCCCCACTGCCTGCTCTCTCCCAGGGGGTTGGGTTGGTTGTCACTGGGTGATAGGTGATGGTGGGTGGTGCAGTCCCCAATGTGACACACCTGTCAAGGGGAGAGAGAGACAGCTTGGTGGGGGTGACGGGGAGTGTCAGTGGGCTGGTCACGGTCTGCTAACCAGCTTCACCTCAGATGAAAGACAATGCTAGTTTGTATCTGCAGTGGTACAACAGACTAGATTACCATCTCTCTGTTTGTCTGCTTGAGTGTGTTCTATAGAGATGCTAGATGAAGTTAGGAAAAGTGATAAGGTGCATGTTGTTTTTGGGTTGGACTAATATCATGCATAGATAGGACAGGAAATGGGAGTTGAGCTTCAGAATTCTTGCTATCAAAAAGTTTTGATTAAACCATTTCAGTGAGTGTGTTTTTCTTGTTCTTATTTTACTATTTCTGTTGTGAAAGCTTGGTTTCTTGATGCAGAGTCAGGGTGCGTGTGGATTTGTGTCATGTGATTGAAGAGGCTGTTTTCACTGGATGTACTTTTGGAGGTTTACAATCAAGGTCAGGCTTACATTCTGGTTATGTGTGTGTGTATACAGTACGTGCCTGCGTGTGTGTGTGTGGGTGCCTCCATCTGTGCATGTGTGTTTGTGTGTCTGTATGTATGCACCTGCATATGTGTATTTGTTTGTGTATGTGTCCTGGGGAGAGGAACTTGTTGGGGAAGTCCCCCACTCAGGGACTGTTGAGAGAGGAGAGGAGATGCCCTAAGTGCTCTGATAAAAATACCCTCCACTTGTGAGGATAACGACACTGTGTCTTTTTATTTTTATTAAAATGTTGATTTTGTGGTCAATAGTTATGTTTTTTTGGTGATTTTGATGTGTGCGTGAGGTTATTGTCTTGCTGGAAAATCCCAATGCAGCCAAGTTTCAGCCTCCTGGCAGGTTTTTGGCTAAAATGTCCTAGTAGTTGGTTAAGTGCATGATGCCATTGACCTTAACAAGGGCCCCAGGACCAGTGGAAGCAAAATAGCCCCATAACATCAAAGAGCCACCACTGTATTTTCTGCATATCAATCAATCAATCAAATGTATTTATAAAGCCCTTTTTACATCAGCAGATGTCACAAAGTGCTATACAGAAACCCAGCCTAAAACCCCAAACAGCAAGCAATGCAGAAGTAGAAACACGGTGGCAAGGAAAAACTCCCTAGAAAGGTAGAAACCTAGGAAGAAACCTAGAGAGGAACCAGGCTCTGAAGGGTGGCCAGTCCCCTTCTGGCTGTGCCGGGTGGAGATTATAACTGTACATGGCCATTAAAGATGTTCAAACGTTCATAGATGACCAGCAGGGTCAAGTAATAATCACAGTGGTTGTAGAGGTTGCAACAGGTCAGTACATCAGGAGTAAATGTCACTTGGCTTTTCATAGCCGGGCATTTAGAGGTTGAAATAGCAGGTGCGGTAGAGAGAGATAGTTGAAAACAGCAGGTCAGGGACAAGGTAGCATGTCCGGTGAACATGCATTGTTCTTTCGAAGGCCAAACCCAGCGCTGGTATGCGTGGCCAAAGACCTCTATTTTCGTGTCATATTAACATAGCAACGGTTTCAATCCAAGTGCGAATGCCATTTAGCAAACTCTAGGCAATGTGTATGGTCAGACAGTGAAGTCTAGTAAACATTCATCATGAGAGAATTGTTGAACTTTGTCTCATTTCCATTTTCTTTCATATTATACAGCCATGTAGACTCAAAGAAGCACCCATCATGCTTCATTGAATCTTCCACTGTTGTTTGTTCTTCTGCCATGTCGTTACCCTCAATTGAGGCATTACCTTTTTCAAATATCCAGCTATGTCATTGCTCTATTGCATATTTCTTCAAATGTCCTTCGATTTCTCATCACCTTGCAATATTATCGCCTTGATAGATGATTCGGTTACTGTATTTGTCCAATGTCATTGCACCATGTCATGTTTCTAACCCAGGCAGAATCTGAAGGAACACACTAAACGATACTTCTCTGCAATTGTGTGGATGTTTTTTGGTTTGTTGCTACTTTATCGATGGGGACTGTTAACCACACAGGTCTCTATTCTTTGCATCCCCCCATACCTCTACCCTCATCCCTCTATCCCTGATAGGCTGATAAATAAGGAGGTGATTTGTGAGGTGGAGAACAGGTGGAAAAAGACAGTGTGGTCAGTATCTCTACTTGTGAGGGTGTGTCTGAGAGAGCACTGTCTGAGAGAGCACACTTTAGAACATCCATAGAAATATCCATCCATAGTCGGCAAAGTTCATATTTGCAGTAAAAGTCACAGGTTTGGTGTGTCTGTTGAGCAAAGAGATATGTAATTCTATGCTGTTGAGCATATCAGAATGAGCCTAGAGTACTGTATAATGTGGTGTGAAATGACATTACCACGCCTCACACTGACTCCAGGCCAGGGCTCTCTTCCATCACAGCTTTGGGTGTCAAGAGCAGTTGACAAAACATCTCCTCAAAGATTCTACTATTCTCATCACACCACTAAGTCACACCAAATGACTGAAATTCATTTTATTATCTTGACAAAATGTTATTACACAGTGTACACTACCGGTCAAAAGTTTTAGAACACCTACTCATTCAAGGGTTTTTCTTTATTTTTACTATTTTCTACATTGTAGAATAATAGTGAAGAAATCTAAACTATGAAATAACACATATGGAATCATGTAGTAACCAAAAAGGTTTATTTGAGATTTGAGATTTTTCAAATAGCCACCCTTTGCCTTGATGACAGCTTTGCACACTCTTGGCATTCTCTCAACCAGCTTCACCTGGAATGCTTTTCCAACAGTCTTGAAGGAGTTCCCACATATGCTGAGCACTTGTTGGCTGCTTTTCCTTCACTCTGTGGTCCAACTCATCCCAAACCATCTCAATTTGGTTGAGGTCGGTGGAGACCAGGTCATCTGATGCAGCACTCCATCACTCTCCTTATTGGTTAAATAGCCCTTACACAGCCTGAAAGTGTGTTGGGTCATTGTCCTGTTGAAAAACAAATATAGTCCCACTAAGCCCAAACCAGATGGGATGGCATATCGCTGCAGAATGCTATGGGAGCCATGCTGGTTAAGTGTGCCTTGAATTCTAAATAAATCACAGACAGTGTCACCAGCAAAGCACCCCCACACCATAACACCTCCTCCTCCATGCTTTACAGTGGGAAATACACATGCGGAGATCATCCGTTCACCCACATCGCGTCTCACAAAGACACGGCGGTTGGAACCAAACATCTCCAATTTGGACTCCAGACCAAAAAGACAAATTTCCACCGGTCTAATGTCCATTGATCGTGTTTCTTGGCCCAAGCATGTCTCTTCTTCTTATTGGTGTCCTTTAGTAATGGTTTCTTTGCAGCAATTCGACCATGAAGGCCTGATTCACACAGTTTCCTCTGAACAGTTGATATTGAGATGTGTCTGTTACTTGAACTCTGTGAAGCATTTATTTGGGCTGCAATTTCTGAGGCTGGTAACTCTAATGAACTTATCCTCTGCAGCAGAGGTTACTCTGGTTCTTCCATTCCTGTGGCGGTCCTCATGAGAGCCAGTTTCATCATAGCGCTTGATGGTTTTTGCGACTGCACTTGAAGAAACATTCAAAGTTCTTGAAATTTTCCGTATTGACTGAACTTCATGTCTTAAAGTAATGATGGACTGTCATTTCTGTTTGCTTATTTGAACTGTTCTTGCCATAATATGGACTTGGTCTATTACCAAATAGGGCTATCTTCTGTATACCCCCCCCCCCCCCCCCCCCCCCCCCCCCCAACCTTGTCACAACACAACTGATTGGCTCAAACGCATTAAGAAGGAAATACATTCCACAAAGTAACTTTTAAGAAGGCACACATGTTAATTGAAATGCATTCTAGGAGACTACCTCATGAATCTGGTTGAGAGAATGCCAAGTGTGTGCAAAGCTGTCATCAAGGCAAAGGGTGCCTATTTGAATAATCTCACTTTTTTGGTTACTACATGATTCCATATGTGTTATTTCATAGTTTTGATGTCTTCACTATTATTCTACAATGTAGAAAATAGTAACAAATAAAGAAAAACCCTTGAATGTGTAGGTGTTCTAAAACATTTGACCGGTAGTGTATGTGTTTTACCGTACAGGGGCCTGAGTCATTGCCCATATAACGAGAGAGAGGACTCAGAGGGTGGTAATGAGAACAATTTAGTCTACTCTGTCATTATCATAGTGCTGATTGAATAGTGATTACTGCTCAGACAGTGTTCTGGCCGTGACTCAGCCCTCCTCACTGTTAGAAAGCCGATTGATAAGGATATAATGTGTTAGATGGATCTGGTTGAACTTGTCTCTTAAATACATGTTTGAGCTATGTGTATGACGAAGGGGGAGATAGAGCTTAAGGATGGGTTCTACTCTGTATGTTATTTGGAGGTGAGAAATGGTGTACAGGGGGTGCATGAAGTGAAACCATGACTCTTGTGTCAGGATGTTGCAGAATTAAAAGCACAACCAATAGTGCCCTTGCGCTTGAGGGCCATAAGAGCACTACAGGGTAATCAAACCACTCTTCACTACTACACCAGTATAAACGGTCCCCTCACTTCAGATGTCCATCACTTTAATAGCATCTCAATGCTGCAGTAACCACCTTATCAGATCTCATGAAATCTGTTACTAAGGCTATGGGAACTATAGCGCTACTGATACTATGAATCCAATAGTGACCATTTTGTGGGTATGCGGTAAGAGAAAACGGAGGAAAATCTTTGGCTAGGATTAGGTACTTTCACTGAGGGATATGTCTGGGTTGGAGTACAGACGTATATATGGATCTGGGTTGGGGTAATGATAATGAGGTGTGTGTGTATATATATATATATATATATATATATATAAACTGGGTGGTTCGAGCCCTGAATGCTGATTGGCTGACAGCTGTGGTATATCAGACCGTATACCACGGGTATGACAAAACATTTATTTTGACTGCTCTAATTACGCTGGTAACCAGTTTATAATAGCAATAAGGCACCTCAGGGGGTTGTGTTATATGGCTAATATACCATGCGTTGCGTCGTGCTTAAGAACAGCCCTTAGCCGTGGTATATTGGCCATATGCCACACCCCCTCGTGCCTTATTTGCACACCCCCTTGTGCAAAGCTGTCATCAAGGCAAAGGGTGGCTATTTGAATAATCTCAAATATGAAACATATTTTGATTTGTTTAACACTTTTTTGGTTACTACATGATTCCATATGTGTTATTTCATAGTTTTGATGTCTTCACTATTATTCTACAATGTAGAACATAGTAAAAATAAAGAAAAACCCTTGAATGAGTAGGTGTTCTAAAACTTTTGACCGGTAGTGTATATATATGTGTGTGTTTGCGTTAATGGGGTTTTCTCATGATTGAGTTCCCCTGTGGAGCACCCAATCCATACATCCCCCTATATGGCACAGTGCAGGGAGATTGCAGGCAATGGGAGACACCGCACAGCCTCAACTCTGGCATCAATCTAGCGCGTGAGCATAGGGCTGCCACTGCCGTTTGTTCTGGAGTGATGGGTTTTAAGACTCTGCCATTGACCAGATCTCCACTTCTTCCTTATAGGTAATGAAATGCCTCAGTGAGCCGCTGGCCCCTGCTTTCACTAAGGTCCTCATAAATAGCACAGCTCTGACAGGTAATCTGACAGCCAGACGATGGCACGGCTGCCTGGGCCTCACAGCAGGAGGGGAGTATTGGAAATGGTTGGGTACCATTTTTTGTGTGATTTATGTGCATTTCTTTTGTGAGTTTTTGTGATTTATCACACTGAACTCTCCTATTCTCAAAATGACCTCTCTCAGACCAGAAAACTTGACAAAAGTAAAAATGATCGATAAAAAAAACGCTAAGCTAGATCTCAATCGTGGTGTATTGGGCGGGCAGACTTGGTGGCCGGGCGTGCGTGCTCACATGGGTGCGTGAGTGCATGTCTGTGTCTTAACAGGCTTTCGAGTAGCCTACCTCTGCCCAACCCAACCTCACTGTATGCCAATCTTTATTATTTTTGGAATCAATGTGGAAATGTAATTATCTGGTTATGACTTATTATTCAATTATTCATGGTCTTGTCGGCTCGTTGGCTTGTCTTGATTAACAGTGCCATTCATTACAAATATCGAATGAGTAATGTCATACCATTCACCAATTTTAATATCCAGATAATACCAAATGTGTCATAATAGAATTCTAATAAAACCACTATTGAAGTCATTCACTGCAAGTTCCCTCTTGAACTTAGAGAACATAGAGAACAGCCTCATCCCCAGCCTCATCCCCTCTGGTCTTCTACGCACGAAGCCCATGCCAGGTCTACTGTATGTCTCTGAGCCAGAGCAATAGAGTCATCCCTCTTCCTGACAGACTAGTTCAAGGTCAAGACCTGCTCCTTGTCATGACTGGAGCCCTGCTCCCTCTCCTGGCGCTAGCCATGGTGGCCATGGAGGGAGGGAGAAATAGTGTGTGTGTTTGTGTGTGTGTGTGTCCTTTGTTGAGTCTTGTGGTCAAGCCTGAGTTGGCTGATAAAAGCAGAACACGACGGAGGTCATAGAATCAGCACACATCTGTTAATCGCACAGGAATGGTGCGACCATGCCGATCACAGATATATAAGTATGATTTCCCTATGATGCTCAGAGGCCGTTGTTTTAATGTATTGTTTGCTAAATGGCATATATATTTTGATAATTAAAGGGTGAAACCATGAGAAGAGAAAGGCACTCTAGAGCAGAAGGCTTGAGTTGAAATGAGCTGTAGCTGAGAGGTAGAAAGAGAGATTTCACTAGAGTTGTAAACACATAGGGTTGCAAAGCTACCGGTAATTTACCAAAGTTTATTATGGTAACTTTGGTATTTTATACTTGAATAACTTTTAAAGAATCTATTCAAATATAGTATTCATCAGATGACCTGGCCTCCACAATCACCAAACCTCAACCCAATTGAGATGGTTTGGGATGAGTTGGACGGCAGGGTGAAGGAAAACAGCCAACAAGTGCTCAGCATATGTGGGAACTCCTTCAAGACTGTTGGAAAAGCATTCCAGGTGAAGCTGGTTGAGAGAATGCCAAGAGTGTGCAAAGCTGTCATCAAGGCAAAGGGTGGCTACTTTGAAGAATCTCAAAAAGTGTATGTACAAGTAGTGTATATACATATATACTGTCATCTAGTGGTCCTGGTTGGTATTTTCTCCTGTTCATCTTGTGGGTTCAGCATACAATTCACAAGATATGAACGGCAGAAGAAAAATAATCCTATGATAAAACCATGCTGTAAATACCTGTAATCTTTTTTTCAGCTGAAAATAGGTTGAGGGTGTATCCCAATGATCCAGGTATGACTTACTCACCTTCAGGGTAGTGGTGGCAATATGGGCCCACTGTCACGCCCTGGCTCTGGGGACTCTTATATGTTGAGCCAGGGTGTGTAGGTTTCATTGTTTAGTTTTCTAGGTTTGTGTTCTAGTTCGTGTATATCTATATTGGCCAGGGTGGTTCCCAATCAGAGGCAGTGGTAGCTTGTTGTCTCTGATTGGGGTCCATACTTAGGCAGCCTGTTTGGCACTGTTAAATTGTGGGATCTTGTTCCGTAAGGTTTGTGTTATTTAACCTAGGACTTCACGTATCGTTTGTTGTTTTTGTTCGTATTGTGTACACTAAATAAAGCATGTACGCCTATCACGCTGTGCCTTGGTCCGCTTCTAATAACGATCGTGACACCCACTCCCTCCAACTGACCTGAGTCTGCTAGCTCATTGGACTCTGTTTGGAGGGAGCTCAGCCAGTAATGTCAAACATGAGCTGCATGGTTATCAGTTGCCACTGCACTCATCTTATGTGGGTGATGTCACATCTTTGCTCAGGTGTAGGACCATAGGTCCGGGGTGATGACCTCATGCTATGATACTTCATTAGGTGAACTTACTGTATGTAAAAAGCAGAGTGATGCAATCTTAATGTCTGGCAAGGGAGCCTGCCTACCTGTTTTATTCCCTTTGTCGACTGCTTGAAGTTGATGAGAGCTGAGATGAGTGTGTTATGAATTGCCTTTTCAGCTGTCTGTCAAGTTGAGGGAGCTGGAATCCAATACAGTTTGATTAGCCACATAGATGAGCCTCAGCTTCAGAAACACATGGAGCTGTTTGGAGCTCTGCTCTTCTTAGAGTCAACTTGATTAATCTCCTCCGTACACTCATGATTTTTACTTGGTTTGAGAGGTTTGGACTGTGAGAATTTGATAGCTTTAGACCCTGCGTGTGTGTGTGTGTGTGTGTGTGTGTGTGTGTGTGTGTGTGTGTGTGTGTGTGTGTGTGTGTGTGTGTGTGTGTGTGTGTGTGTGTGTGTGTGTGTGCGTCCGTGCATCCATATGTCCCTGCGTGTAAAAGACATTCTGTGAGTGATGATGACGTACTGAGCAGAGCTGACTGAGGTAGTTGGGCCTCTGCCAGCCTTTTCATTCCCATGCTCCATAGTGCCTGTTCCCCTGACCACCAGTCCATCTGTGTGTGAGATATAACACACACACCACCCACCTATGACCAGCCACTTCCAGCACCATTCCAGGCAGGCACCTTCATTTCATGCTCTTCAGCCTGTTGGATGGACCGCGTTAACGTACAGATTTATGGCGTCACAAAGCTGGCCGTGGTGGTGGATTGAGAGCAGCAGCTACTCTAGTGGTGTGTCTCGCGGGATATTATCGACCCAGCAGGGTGAAAGGGAATGGAGCGTGTCCAGAGAATGGCCCCGGCCCGGCCTTAACACTGGATCCATCATGCTGGGATCGATAGCGGATTTCTGGGCTTATTGCCTGACCCTGAGCATCTGATGTAGAACTCTGAATTAGTGTTGACATGTTCTGGCTTCACAAATACGTTGTTTTATTTCTGGGCATTATGCGAGTGCCCTGGTAACTGTAAGGGAAGAATAGAATAACTCAGGTATATGTAGTCCCCTGTAGCTCAGTTGGTAGAGCATGGCACTTGCAACGCCAGGGTTGTGGGTTCGTGTCCCACGGGGGGCCAGTATGAAAATGTATGCACTCACTAACTGTAAGTCACTCTGAATAAGAGTGTCTGCTAAAATGACTAAAATACACTCAATTGTTATTTCTTTCTAATGGCACACACACAAATTAGGGGGGGTGGGGGTGGAGTCTGTTTTCAGTACTTACTAAGTAATTACACTGATTATTCCACTGGTAATTGAAGTGTGTGTGATTAAAGTTAAAATTTTTACAAGAACCTTCCGTATAACTGTGGGAGAAAAATCACATATTTACCTGATTTGTTTAATATTAATAGTTAACAATTAATATGCTTAACAATAGTAGAGATATTTCTTTAGTGCCAATGCTGTGCTTCTGAGAAAGGATGGTTCATCTCTTCCACGTTCACTCCCCGCAGCTGGTCAGGGCGTGTAGTCAAGGACATGGGATGGAGATAAACTTGAGGAACAGATAGACCTGTATTGTTTTAATTTCTCGTTGCTTCTGAGTAACCTGGTCAAACGGCATAAGACAAAGAGCCTCAGTTTTTCAGTTCATCCTGTCTTTTACTATCTTCCAAGGGCACAGCTGTGTGGAGATATGAACAGTAACGGAACTAACATTTTTTTTACATTTTTTAGTTATTTAGCAGACGCTCTTATCCAGAGCGACTTACAGGAGCAATTAGGGTTAAGTGCCTTGCTTAAGGGCACATCGACAGATTTTTCACCTAGTCGGCTCGGGCATTAGAACCAGCGACCTTTCGGTTACTGGCACAACGCTCTTACCCACTAAGCTACCTGCGCTATGAACCGCTATGAATCAGCCATGACTAAGCATAACTATATAAGACGTCAGCATTTCCTGTTCGTTGGGCTCTCACTCTGTTCACTTTGGTGTGGGTATTGTGACCAGCTCCCTTATACAGTGGGGAGAACAAGTATTTGATACACTGCCGATTTTGCAGGTTTTCCTACTTACAAAGCATGTAGAGGTCTGTACTTTTTATCATAGGTACACTTCAACTGTGAGAGACGGAATCTAAAACAAAAATCCAGGAAATCACATTGTATGATTTTAAAGTAATTAATTTGCATTTTATTGCAGGACATAAGTATTTGATACATCAGAAAAGCAGAACTTAATATTTGGTACAGAAACCTTTGTTTGCAATTACAGAGATCATACATTTCCTGTAGGTCTTGACCAGGTTTGCACACACTGCAGCAGGGATTTTGGCCCACTCCTCCATACAGACCTTCTCCAGATCATTCAGGTTTCGGGGCTGTCGCTGGGCAATATGGACTTTCAGCTCCCTCCAAAGATTTTCTATTGGGTTCAGGTCTGGAGACTGGCTAGGCCACTCCAGGACCTTGAGATGCTTCTTACGGAGCCACTCCTTAGTTGCCCTGGCTGTGTGTTTCGGGTCGTTGTCATGCTGGAAGACCCAGCCACGACACATCTTACTGAGGGAAGGAGGTTGTTCGCCAAGATCTCGCGATACATGGCCCCATCCATCCTCCCCTCAATACGGTGCAGTCGTCCTGTCCCCTTTGCAGAAAAGCATCCCCAAAGAATGATGTTTCCACCTCCATGCTTCACGGTTGGGATGGTGTTCTTGGGGTTGTACTCATCCTTCTTCTTCCTCCAAACACGGCGAGTGGAGTTTAGACCAAAAAGCTCTATTTTTGTCTCATCAGACCACATGACCTTCTCCCATTCCTCCTCTGGATCATCCAGATGGTCATTGGCAAACTTCAGACGGGCCTGGACATGCGCTGGCTTGAGCAGGGGGACCTTGCGTGTGCTGCAGGATTTTTATCCATGACGGCGTAGTGTGTTACTAATGATTTTCTTTGAGACTGTGGTCCCAGCTCTCTTCAGGTCATTGACCAGGTCCTGCCGTGTAGTTCTAGACTGATCCCTCACCTTCCTCATGATCATTGATGCCCCACGAGGTGAGATCTTGCATGGAGCCCCAGACCGAGGGTGATTGACCATCATCTTGAACTTCTTCCATTTTCTAATAATTGCGCCAACAGTTGTTGCCCTCTCACCAAGCTGCTTGCCTATTGTCCTGTAGCCCATCCCAGCCTTGTGCAGGTCTACAATTTTATCCCTGATGTCCTTACACAGCTCTCTGATCTTGGCCATTGTGGAGAGGTTGGAGTCTGTTTGATTGAGTGTGTGGACAGGTGTCTTTTATACAGGTAACGAGTTCAAACAGGTGCAGTTAATACAGGTAATGAGTGGAGAACAGGAGGGCTTCTTAAAGAAAAACTAACAGGTCTGTGAGAGCCGGAATTCTTACTGGTTGGTAGGTGATCAAATACTTATGTCATACAATAAAATGCAAATTAATTATTTAAAAATCAGACAATGTGATTTTCTGGATTTTTGTTTTAGATTCCGTCTCTCACAGTTGAAGTGTACCTATGATAAAAAATTACAGACCTCTACATGCTTTGTAAGTAGGAAAACCTGCAAAATCGGCAGTGTATCAAATACTTGTTCTCCCCACTGTAGATACATTTTTAATAAAGTTCATATTCTGATTGGTGATTGACCTTGTCGCTCCTCATTATTGATTAAAATATCCACCACATAACCCTCAATGGACTCAACACCTACTATCTATAACATATATTTTCTGTTGACACCCATTACTTACTAGTAGCTACTACAACACCCTACACACAGTATGGTAGCTATTCACTGTGCTCTTCCTATTTCCAGCCATGCCTCAGCCCTGCTCCTGCTCTTGTCCTGCAGAGATCTGTGAGTGCATCCCAAATGGCACTATATTCCCTACATAGTGCACTACTTTTGACCAGAGCTCTGGTCAAAATTAGTGCACTATGTAGGGAATAGGGTGCCATTTGGGATGCAGCCTGTGAAGGGCATCGGGGGGTGGGGGGTAGTGAAGTGTACATCTCATCCCAACAGGCCTTACTGCACATCTCGTCACGGAGCCATAACCTGCTGGGCTGGCAGCACAGAATCATGTCACTGTTATGTCAGCGTTTTTCACTCAGCCCCCCTAGTCATAGCACACAGCACGTTATGATGTAATGAGCTGTATGCCACTAGAATACAAGTACAAAAAAGCACTTGATGACTGAGTCGTCCGACAGACTGCATGTTGGACACGATGAAGCCTTTGAATGGGACTATATTATGAATGAGATCATGTGTGGCAGGTTGATGTTCATTGTCATGAATCTTGCCCTGGAGGCAGAATTGAGCTATTTCCACTAGATGGGCCAGCTGCAAAGTCAAAATTGGCTATATTGTAAAAATTCATGATAACAAAAATATGTTTTATGGTCTTCATTTAAGGTTATGGTTAGGCGTTAGGGTTAGCAGTGTGGTCAAGGTTAGGGTTAGAGTTAGGTTTCAAATCCGATTTTATGATTTCTCGGCTGTGCCAGCTAGTGACCACTCTGCAGAGCTGCCTCCAGATCAAGATTAATGACGAAAAACACTAACCTGCTAATGTATGTGGAATTTGAGAGAGTAATACGGAGATTGAAGTGATGGACAAGAGTTATTGAGTTGTTTGATTGCCTTTGTCGTCGCTGGCCGTTGTTTTTGCCTCTCAGAGTAGGAGTGCTGATCTAGGATCAGGTCCTCTCTGTCCATGTAGTCTTATTCATTATGATCAAAAAGGCAGGTGAGTTTGTCAGACACCTGTGAGAATGTGTGTGTGTAGTGTTTGTGGATTGCGTACTTAGTTGTCTAATTTAACTCTGATAGGGGATTTGTGATAGGGCTGTTTGTATTGAAATTAATGGGATACTAATGCTCCTGATCCTAAATCAGCAATCCTACTCTGAGATGCGTGACACATACTAGGCTTGGGCGGTATACCATATATACCGTATACCGGGGTATTTGGAAAAAGCCATGGGATGATTTTTCAATACCGTCAAAACTATTTATTGGACGTTTTTCAATCAATTATCATATTTGTAGCTACTTTTTAAGTTAATACCTGCAGTCAACTTGTGCAATATGTTAAGAGATAAAGCAGATTGCATTCTTCATTTCACCTGTCACATTATTTTACATTATGAAGCTTACCGTAGTTCCCCAGAACAGTTGAGCCAGTCACATGTTTGTTTGTAAATAGCACAACGGGAGAAAGCGAGAGCTGGTGAGTCCATAGAGTTCTATATCTATCGGTGAGTCTCTGTTGTGTGGTGCACACAAGATGATGAAGTTATATTTTGCAATTCACTGCTAAATGTTTGCCATCAGATATCTTATAATGGCTTTCTGCCAGAATTCAAAGAACCCTGGATGAGTTATCTGTACAGTTGCCATTTTGTCCCTGTGCTTCCTTCTAGCGTTTTTTTTTTCTCCTCCGTTCTTCTCCCATCTGCTCCGTGTACACATGCTGCTCTTCCTTCAGAAAAGCATGCATCACAACTTTGTTCATTTGCACAATTTATCTTGTTCACTTTTGCTTGTAAATGTCCACACTCACTGAAAATGACATTTGGTAGCTACTGGCTATGCTTGTATACCTTTATGAGCTGGATTTGCCTGTCTTTGCAATTAGTTTATGTTCATTTTCGCTCGTTAACATTTAGCTAACAGCTTCTATGTGATTTCGCTATTAGTTTGTGCTAATTTTGTTAGCATTCTTGTAATAGAGGCCCAATGGGCTTTTCTTGTGTTTTTAGCCCCCCCTTGTGTACTATGCCGGTAATACCGTAAATCCCGGTGTGAGAGAAGGATGGTATAACGATACGAAAATCTGGATACCGCCCAAGCCTAATAAATACGACCCCCTAAACACAGTTCAGTGCTGGTGAAGGAGGAAGAGGTACGGTTAAGAAAACACAGTGACGTCTGTCAAATTGCAGACTGATAGGCTACATTATGCTGAGTTGTGTTTTGCTCTGCAATCATGTGACACAAAATGACCAACGACCTCAGGAAGTTATGATGGACATTCAGTGGTGACATAGCATGCATGCACACACACACACACACACACACACACACACACACACACACACACACACACACACATACACACACACACACACACACAGATTGTGAGATTGAGGTGTGTGCCTGCACGCATGCATGCACACATGATCCAGCTGTAACCACTACCCAGGTTACTATGGACCACTGAACGTGAGCAGACTCTCAAGCTGATAAACTTCATTATCTCCAAACAAAGCTTGGATGTCCATGTCTATGACATATTGAAAGCTACTCTGTGTTTATGTTTAATCAAATAAGAGAATGTGCCTGTCCAAACCCATTGGTTTGACTGAAGAACGCCCGTCTACCAACATGATCCATCTACGCAGTCATATTTGCTTGACATTTATTGTTTTCATCTGCTTTCCATCAGGATTGATTTCAAATAGAGATAACTATAAACCAGTTGACTGATCTTTAAGGGATGTTAGGAATAGGGTTGTGCTGCTGTGGATATAAGAGAGGGCTCAGATTATAGTCCCAATAAATCAGTGTTATTGCATGTAGTTAAGGGTTACCTGTGTGTGATAGAGTGGAGCTTCTGTCCGCTTTATCTGGCCAGTTTCAGTGATGAGTCTGAATCAGCAGGATCTAGCAGACACAGGGACAACTCTAGGTAAACACCCCCATCTAGTGGTCAATATGAAGCATTGATCTCTTCTGCTGAAGTGGTGTGTGTGTGTGTGTGTGTGTGTGTGTTCATGCACGTCTGCGTGTCTGTGTGTATGTACAGTATGTGTGCATCAGGGCTGGGGTCAATTCAAATTGAAGGCAGTCAATTCCGGAAGTTATTTTAATTCTAAATGGAAACATATTTGAAATAAATAGCTTCTACTTCTCAGTTTATTGAGAAGTCATTGAAAATACGTAGAGCACAGCGCTTGTAACGCCAAGGTAGTGGGTTCGATCCCCGGGACCACCCATACACAAAAATGTACGCACGCATGACTGTAAGTCGCTTTGAATAAATGGCATATTATTATTATTATTATAAATAGATGCCGTTCTTTCAAATTTTGTATTGTTATCTAAGTTTACCTCCTCAATTGACTTCCTTCAATTCAAAATGACCCCAGGCCTGGTGTGTATACGTGTGTGTAGTGTCATGTGGGTGCATCCTTCACAAAACAGCTTCAAATGAGCCACAGTTCAAGAGAGGAGAGTTTTAATGAGAGTGAGCTGTTAATTAAAGACAGTATTTTTTGTCCTGAGGCCTACGACACCACAGCACAGCGCCTCTGTCTCAGCCTATTAGTCACATAAAAATACAATTACGCTTTACCTTTAACAATGACGACCTGTCAAACACATCAATAAACCACATCAATAAACAACAATTACACTATACATATCTTTATTCAAATAAATTACACAATACATGAAAAGCAAACACAAAACACGAAAAGCAGAACACAATCATATTAAACAAACACATTATTCATTAAAAAGGCCCTCTAACATCTGCCAGAATTGCCCTAGAGGCACCAAATCCACCAACTTTAAGGACTTTTGGAGATCATTCCACGAGGCGGAAAAATAACTAGAAGCAGAATTACGTAACTTAGTGGAGATTGAAGGGGTCTCCAGGGTTAGCCATCCTATTTTGTTGCATTACAACCTGTAATTTAAATTGATTTTTATTTGGATTTCATGTAATGGACATACACATAATAGTCCAAATTGGTGAAGTGAAATGAAAAAAATAACTTGTTTCAAAAGAAGTATACAAAATAAATAACGGAAAGGTGGTGCGTGCATATGTATTCACCCCCTTTGCTATGAAGCCCCTAAATAAGATCTGGTGCAACCAATTACCTTCAGAAGACACCTAATTAGTTAAATAAAGTCAACCTGTGTGCAATCTAAGTGTCACATGATCTGTCACATGATCTCAGTATATATATACACCTGTTCTAAAAGGCCCCAGAGTCTGCAACATCACTAAGCAAGGGGCACCACCAAGCAAGCGGCACCATGAAGACCAAGGAGCTCTCCAAACAGGTCTGGGACAAAGTTGTGGAGAAGTACAGATCAGGGTTGGGTTATAAAAAAATGTCAGAAACGTTGAACATCCCACGGAGCACCATTAAATACATTATTTAAAAATGGAAAAATATGGCACCACAACAAACCTACCAAGAGAGGGCCGCCCACCAAAACTCCCGGACCAGGCAAGGAGGGCATTAATCAGAGAGGCAACAAAGAGACCAAAGATAACCCTAAAGGAGCTGCAAAGCTCCACAGCAGAGATTGGAGTATCTGTCCATAGGACCACTTTAAGCCGTACACTCCACAGAGCTGGGATTACGGAAGAGTGGCTAGAAAAAAGCCATTGCTTAAAGAAAAAAAATAAGCAAACACTTTTGGTGTTCGCCAAAAGGCATGTGTGAGACTCCAAAAACATATGGAAGAAGGTACTCTGGTCAGATGAGACTAAAATTGAGCTTTTTGGCCATCAAGGAAAATGCTATATCTGGCGCAAACCCAACACCTCTCATCACCCTGAGAACACCATCCCCACAGTGAGGCATGGTGGTGGCAGCATCATGCTGTGGGGATGTTTTTCATCGGCAGGGACTGGGAAACTGCTCAGAATTGAAGGAATGATGGATGGCACTAAATACAGGGAAATTCTTGAGGGAAACCTGTTTCAGTCTTCCAGAGATTTGAGACTGGGACGGAGGTTCACCTTCCAGCAGGACAATGACCCTAAGCATACTGCTAAAGCAACACTCAAGTGGTTTAAGGGGAAACATTTAAATGACTTGGAATGGCCTTGTCAAAGCCCAGACCTCAATCCAATTGAGAATCTGTGGTATGACTTAAATATTACTGTACACCAGCGGAACCCATCCAACTTGAAGGAGCTGGAGCAGTTTTGCCTTGAAGAATGGGCAAAAATCTCAGTGGCTAAATGTGCCAAGCTTATAGAGACATACCCCAAGAGACTTGCAGCTGTAATTGCTGCAAAAGGTGCCTCTACAAAGTATTGACTTTGGGGGGGTGAATAGTTATGAACGCTCAAGTTTTCTGTTTTTTTGTCTTATTTCTTATTTTCTTACCCAAAAAAATATTTTGCATCTTCAAAGTGTGTAAATCAAATGATACAAACCCCCCAAAAATCCATTTTAATTTCAGGTTGTAAGGCAACAAACTAGGAAAAATCCCAAGGGGAGTGAATACTTTCGCAAGCCACTGTATACGCCTGAAGGTGAACAATGAGGTAAGGTATGGCGGAAGTTTATGCAAGAGGGCTTTATAGAAAAACACTGTCACTAGTCAATGTATCGATCTATGAGACTTCAAGGAGGGCCAGTCTACTTTCTGATTCAAAATGCAATGATGCATACTGAACCTATCGCCTGTAGTAAAGCGCAATTTGCTATGTTAATAGCTTCAATACCGCGGCAGCTGCATTCATATAGATGATATCTCCATAGTCAATAACCAGAATGAATGTTGACTGAATTATTTGTTTTCTGCTATTTAACGAAAGATAGGACCTGTTCCTATAGAAGGCTATTTTAATTCTTAATTTCTTAACTAACTCATCAACATGCTTTTTGAAAGATAGCTTTTCGTCAATCCAGATGCCCAGATATTTATAAGTGAGGACATGATCAATGAAGGCACCATCCAACGTACGCATGCATAAATCATCAAAATAAATTTTTACGTGATTTGGAAAATAACATATAATTGGTTTTACCTGCATTTAGTACACATTTCAGTTCAACAAAGGCTTTCTGGAGGGCAATAAAGGCATATTGAAGCTCTGACAGAGCCTGGTCAGCTGTTGGGGCAATAGAATACACCACAGTGTAATCTGCGTACAGAGCTTCAAATAGTGAAAAGAACCAGACCAAGAATTGATCCCTGTGGGACACCTTTTGTTATGTTTGGAAAACCTGATTTAAAACCATCAGTAAATGCACACTGTGTTCTTTAAATTATTTTCAAACCAGCTACAGGCAACCTGGTCCAGGCCAATTGATGAAAGCCTCTGAATAAGTAATGAGTGATCCACAGTATCGAAGGCTTTAGACAGGTCAATAAAAAGGGCCGCACAGCGTTTCTTCTTATCCAAGCAATTAAGAACATAATTTAAAACCAAATGACCTGGTCTGAAACCTGACTGATGTACATTTAGAATATATTTCTTAGTTAAAAAGGATCTATGTTCAGTATTTAGCAAGGATTCTATAATTTTTGCTAGTCAAGTGAGTTTGGAAACAGGGCGATAATTATTTAGGTCACACGGGTCACCACCTTTGTGAAGGGGGAGTATATGGGCCGCCTTCCAGACCCTGGGGATTGTACCAGAAATAATTGTAAGGTTAAAAAATATGTGTTAAAGATTCTGCAATCAGAGGAGCAGAAAGCTGTAGCAAGAAAGGATCAAGCAAATCCGCCCCAGCGGGGCATCAATCTTGCGCAAGGCGTCGAGCACATCACAAGTAGAAAGTTGTTGAAAAGAAAACGAAGATTCACTAGTTGACGGAACTTCCAATTGAGCCAACTAGAGGCGCAGGCAGTCGACTGGCAGACCAGCTTAAATTAAACCATCATTTATTTTTAAAAATTAAAAACTGCAGAGAGGAATTTTGACACATCAGTGCATTAACTGTTTCCCATACTTTAGACGGATCACCAGCAGAGTCTGAGATAGAACTTAGAAAGTAGCTACAGTGAGGGAAAAAAAGTATTTGATCCCCTGCTGATTTTGTACATTTGCTCACTGACAAAGAAATGATCAGTCTATACTTTTAATGGTAGGTTTATTTAAACAGTAAGAGACAGAATAACAACAAAAAAATCCAGAAAAACGCATGTCAAAAATTGTATAAATTGATTTGCATTTTAATGAGGGAAATAAGTATTTGACCCCCTCTCAATCAGAAAGATTTCTGACTCCCAGGTGTCTTTTATACAGGTAACGAGCTGAAATTAGGAGCACACTCTTAAAGGGAGTGCTCCTAATCTCAGCTTGTTACCTATATAAAAGACACCTGTCCACAGAAGCAATCAATCAATCAGATTCCAAACTCTCCACCATGGCCAAGACCAAAGAGCTCGCCAAGGATGTCAGGGACAATATTGTAGACCTACACAAGGCTAGAATGGGCTACAAGACCATCACCAAGCAGCTTGGTGAGAAGGTGACAACAGTTGGTGCGATTATTCGCAAATGGAAGAAACACAAAAGAACTGTCAATCTCCCTCGGCCTGGGGCTCCTTGCAAGATCTCACCTCGTGGAGTTGCAATAATCATGAGAACGGTGAGGAATCAGCCCAGAACTACACAGGAGGATCTTGTCAATGATCTCAAGGCAGCTGGGACCATAGTCACCAAGAAAACAATTGGTAAAACACTACGCCGTGAAGGACTGAAATCCTGCCGCGCCCGCAAGGTCCCCCTGCTCAAGAAAGCACATATACAGAGCCATCTGAAGTTTGCCAATGAACATCTGAATGATTCAGAGGAGAACTGTGTGAAAGTGTTGTGGTCAGATGAGACCAAAATCTAGCTCTTTGGCATCAACTCAACTCGCCATGTTTGGAGGAGGAGGAATGCTGCCTATGACCCCAAGAACACCATCTCCACCGTCAAACATGGAGTTGGAAACATTATGCTTTGGGGGTGTTTTTCTGCTAAGGGGACAGGACAACTTCACTGCATCAAAGGGATGATGGACGGGGCCATGTACCGTCAAATCTTGGGTGAGAACCTCCTTCCCTCAGTCGGGCATTGAAAATGGGTCGTGAATGGGTATTCCAGCATGACAATGACCCAAAACACACGGCCAAGGCAACAAAGGAGTGGCTCAAGAAGAAGCACATTAAGGTCATGGAGTGGCCTAGCCAGTCTCCAGACCTTCATCCCATAGAAAATCTGTGGAGGGAGCTGAAGGTTTGAGTTGCCAAACGTCAGCCTCGAAACCTTAATGACTTGGAGAAGATCTGCAAAGAGGAGTGGAACAAAATCCCTCCTGAGATGTGTGCACACCTGGTGGCCAACTACAAGAAACGTCTGACCTCTGTGATTGCCAACAAGGGTTTTGCCACCAAGTACTAAGTCATGTTTTGCAGAGGGGTCAAATACTTATTTCCCTCATTAAAATGCTAATCAATTTATAACATTTTTGACATGCATTTTTTAGGATTTTTTTGTTGTTATTCTGTCTCTCACTGTTCAAATAAACCTACCATTAAAATTATAGACTGATCATGTCTTTGTCAGTGGGCAAACGTACAAAATCAGCAGGGGATCAAATACTTTTTCCCCTCACTGTAGATTTAGCTTTCTTGATTGAGGAAGTGCATCTATTTCTCAATTGCCTAAAAAACTGCCAATTAGCTACAGTTAACGTTTCTAGTCTTGGCCCAGGCCTGATTTCTCATCATAACAAGATCTGACAGTTCTATAGAGAACCAAGGATTTGTTATATTCTTTGTACTCTAAGGCATTTAAAGGTGGTGTGTTTGTCTGCCGGAGAGATACAAATAGTTGAGAACAATTCTACAGCTAATTCAGGGTTGGGTATGCAGCTGATAGAGGAAAAGTCTGAGCATACATATCATGAAGAAAAGCTTGTGGGGGAAATTATTTTTCATTTATCTTCATAATTATACTAGGATCAGTGTTAATCTGATTGGTATCTCTAATTAATTAGCAAAGACACCACTGGACAAGTACTTGTGGGGGCTATTTGTCAGAATTAGGTCAATCAGTGAGGAGTTTGCTGGATTTTTTACATGAATCCGTGTGAGTTTTGCAATCAGTTGAGTCAGGTTAAAGTCAATAATAATATTCTTAAAATGGTCTGAGGCCGGGGTAACCCATAATGTATCTAAGTTAAAATTCCCTAACACGACTAATTCAGATGACAGAAAAGGTTTTAAATACTCCGAAATAGTAAAAGAATAACAAATGGGATAGTGATGTTTAGAGAACATGATGCCACAAGAGTTGATTTCACAAATATAGCCATCCATCCCCATTTTTTCAGTCTGTCACACCTGAAGATGTTGTAATCAGCAATATCAATGTCTTTCTGTGGGATTGAGCCATTTAACTAAGTCTGTGTGAGAACCAAAATATCCAGGCTCGTGTCATGCATCCAGATATCAAGAAGGTCCATCTTTGAAATCAAACTTCGTAAGTTGATATGAAACAGCCCAAGCCCTCTACGCAATTTCAAAACACTGGGGTATCCATATTTGTGGTATTTTAAATAATAGCACTGGGCGAGCTTACCACAGTGGGCTTCCCAATTGGGTTAACAGTAACAGAGCTAACAGTGGAATTAAACTTTATGGTCACAAGGTTATCACTGACAATACCCTGGGAATCTGGTTATCTGTGGCAGTACGATGATAACGCTGTGAAATAGTGGGAACGGGATGATGTACCTAAGCAGTGGTTGGGCTGTTTTGGAGTCAATATCTCTACGTGGCCTTGAAATGTGAGGACAGGGTCCAGGCACAAAGATGATTTGGATGGATGGACTCCATCATCCCTGTAGAGCATATTTTGTTTCCAAAATGCATCCAAGTTATCTACAAAAGTTATGGCTTAACTTTTGTAGATAACATGACCTGGAGTGTGAGTCACATGACATGATACTTGAGGCCAGACAATGTTTCTCTCCCCCCCCCCCCCCCCCCCCCCCCCCCGCTCACAAACATAAACACAACTCAGTATAACAACTGAGAGGAGAGGACAGGCTTCCTTAGACTGGAGGGAGGTAGGGAGGGAAAGAAAGAGAGAGGAAGGGAGAGACATCTGTGTACCCCTACAGCGTGATAAAATACATTAAACTCTGAATAGGACAACATAACATTACATGACAGAGTTATTAATACACAAGGCAGCATATCACAAACAATATTTAGTCATTAGGCACCATCTTGAGCACCTTGCTTTTTCCCAAAACAAAGCATCCTTATCTCGTCAGTTTCACCCAAATCTGTTTGGCGCAGATGAAATCTCCTTTCTATCTCTATGGATAGGTAATCCTAACCCCATCTTTCCTCTGTGTTGTTGTCTTGTGTCCAGGGACAAGTGATCCGTATGTGAAGTTTAAGATCGGTGGGAAGGAAGTGTTCAGGAGCAAGACTATCAATAAGAACCTGAACCCAGTGTGGGACGAGAAGGTCAGCCTACTGGTGGACAGCCTCCGAGAACCCCTCTATGTCAAGGTAGGAGGACTCAGTGCTACTACATTGTTTTGGGATATTAACACATTTGTTTTCAAGCATTAGTGCTATCTTTATATACTTTGTATAACCATTGCCTCAAACTGAAACATGTGGTTATTAGAATGCAACGCTAATTTCAGTGGACTTGTGCCATGTAATGTCAAAATGCATGGCAGTTTCAAAATGAATGCATACACTACATTGCAGTACACCTGAGCAGAGTACAGTACTAGAGTTGCAAAAATCCAGTAACTTTCCCAAAAATCAGGAATCAGGAGGGAATAAGCATGAAATCCCAAATCATCCAGACAGCATTTCTGGAAGACCTGGGAATTTTGGGAAAGTTACCAGATTTTTGCAACCCTTTACAATACAGTATGTGGTCTCTATGGTGACAGTGTGTTGTGTTGTGTCCTGCAGGTGTTTGACTATGACTTTGGCCTTCAGGATGACTTCATGGGTTCTGCCTACCTCTACCTGGAGTCTCTGGAACACCAGAGGTCTGGACAGACAGGGGAAACACTCAACTTTATACCTCTCCTTCATCTCTCGCTATTTCTTTCTCCGTTTCTCTCTCTGTCACACTTTCTCTCTTTTGATTGCACTCTCTCGCACTCTCTCTCTCTCTCGTGCGCACTCTCATGCTCTCTCACTTTCCTTTGCCCATCCTTCTCTCTTCTTTCTCCTCGTCCTTTTCTTTCTTCTTGTCCTTCCCTTCATCCCCCTCCATCTCGTCCTCCTTTTCTTCTCCCTCTCCGTCTCCGTTTCCTCCTGCTCTTCCTGCAATATAATGAACTGTCTCACACAGAAGCATATTTTCTCTCTCTCTCTCTCTCTCGCTCTCTCTCTTTCTCTCTCTCTCTCTCTCTCTCTCTCTCTCTCTCTCTCTCTCTCTCTCTCTCTCTCTCTCTCTCTCTCACATTCTCTCTTTCTCCATGTCTCTCAGCCATTGCATCAGTTTTTTTGTTCTTTGTCACTCACAATTGTTGCCCTTATTTGCTTATTTCTCTCTCTGAAGCCCACAAATCAGCTATTTGTGTCCACATTTTCCTTGAAACTTGGTTCAATGGAACTTATCCAATGCACCACTGCCCTCTAGTGTACTTCCAATGAAATGCACATGACTTATATTTACATGACACCCACAGGTTTGGGAGTGTGTGCGTGCTGGTCACTGTGTCCTCCCTCTACCACTTCAGGAACCTGGATGTGACCCTTGACCTTGAGGACCCCCAGTACCCCGACCATGACCTGGGAACTCTAGAGCTGGCAGTCACACTGTCGCCCAAAGAGGGAGACTTCGGGGAAGCTGTAAGTCCACTCATTTTTATATTTATCTTTCTCTCTCTCTCTCTCTCTCTCTCTCGCTCTCGCTCTCGCTCTCGCTCATCATCAAACTGATCATGTATATATCATATCTGAATGTGCCAGGATTTGGATAAAAAGGAAAAACGTCTGTTTCCACATCAGTATCTTAGACTGTCCTAAGGGCTCAATAACGCCTTCTGATTGGACATACTGCTCATTCCGGACCAGGCCCTAATTCCCGGGGCTCCAAAGAGGATGAGACAGCGCAAGAGAGGCAAACTAGCGGTCTCCCTGACGAGACTACGATGGAGAGTAAATAAACCGCCGCTACCCGCTGTTCTATTGGCGAACGTACAATCACAAGAGAACAAACTGGACGAGCTCCGTTTAAGACTATCCTATCAACGGGACCTGAAGAACTGTAATATCCTATATTTCTCGGAGTCGTGGCTGAACAAGGACATGAATATGGTTTTTCTATGCATCGTCGAGGTGTTAACAACATCTGGTGCGCGATCTCTAATGTTAAGGAAGTCTCTAGGTTTTGCTCCCCTGAGTTAGAATACCTCATGATAAGCTGCAGACCATACTATTTACCAAGAGAGTTTTCATTTTAAAAAATTGTAGATGTCTATTTACCACCAAAGAAACGATGCTCTCAACGAGCTGTATAGGGCCATAAGCAAACAAGACAATGCACATCCAGAGGCAGCGCTCCTAGTTGCCTGTGATTCTAATGCAGAGGAACTGAAATCTGTCTTACCTCATTTTTACCAGCATGTCACCTGTGCAACTAGAGGCAAAAAAACTCTAGATCACCTTTACTCCACACACAGAAATGCATGCAAAGCTCTCCTTCGCCCTCCATTTGGCAATTCTGACCATAACTCTATCCTCCTGATTCCTGCTTACCAGTAAAAACTCAAACCGTAAGTGCCAGTGACACGCTCAATACGGAAGTGGTCCAATGAAGCGGATGCTAAGCTACAGGACTGTTTCGCTAGCACAGACTGGAATATGTTCTGGGATTCATCCGATAACATTGAGGAGTTTACCACATCAGTCACCGGCTTCATTAATAAGTGCTCTGACGTCATTGTCCCCACAGTGACCGTACGTACATATCCCAACCAGAAGCCATGGATTATAGGCAACATCCACACTGAGCTAAAGGCCAGAGCTGCCACTTTCAAGGAGTGGGACACTAATCTGGACGCTTATAAGAAATCCCACTATGACCTCGACGAGCCATCAAACAGTCAAAACATCAATACAGGACTAAGATCGAATCCTACAACGCATGCTCGTGGATGTGGCAGGGCTTGCATACTGTCACGGATTTCAAAGGGAAACCCAGCCATGAGCTCCCCAGTGACGCGAGAACCATGCATGAGAGCACCAACTGTTCCGGACGACTGTGTGGTCTCGCTCTCCGTAGCCGATGTGAGTAAAACCTTTAAACTGGTTAACATTTACAAGGCCGTGGGGCCAGACGGATTACCAGGACACATACTCAGAGTATGCGCTGACCAGCTGGAAAGTGTCTTCACTGACATTTTCAACCTCTTCCTGACCAAGTCTGTAATACCTAAATGTTTCCAGCAGATCACCATAGTCCCTATGCCCAAGAACGCCAAGGTAACCAGTCTAAATGACTATCGCCCTGTTGCGCTCACGTCTGTAGCCATGAGATGCTTTGAATGTCTGGTCATGGCTCACGTCAACACCATCATCCCAGACAGCCTGGATCCACTCCAATTCACATACCGCCCCAACAGATCCACAGATGACGCAATCTCTATTGCACTCCACACTGCCTACTCCCACCTGGACAAAAGGAACACATACATGAAAATGCTTTTCATTGACTATAGCGCAGTGTTCAACACCACAGTGCCCTCCAAGCTCATCACTAAACTCAGGACCCTGGGACTGAACACCTCCCTCTACAACTGGATCCTGAACTTCCTGAGGGGCTGCCCCAGGTGGTGAAGATAGGTAACAACACATCCGCCACACTGGACCCTCAACACGGGGGCCCCACAGGAGTGCGTGCTTAGTCCCCTCCTGTACTCCCTGTTCACCCACGACAGCGTGGCCGCTCACGACTCAAACACCATCATTCATTTTGCTGACGACACGACAGTGGTTGGCCTGATCACTGACGAAGATGAAACAGTCTATAGGGAGGAGGTCAGTGACCACAAAGCACTACGGCCCAGTACATCACTGGGTCCAAGATCCCTGCCATATAGGACCTCTATACCAGGCAGTGTCAGAGAAAGGACCTAAAAATTGTAAAAGACTCCAGCCAACCAAGTCATAGACTGTTCTCTCTGCTACCGCACAGCAAGCGGCACCGATGCACCAAGTCTGGAACCAACAGGACCATGAACAGCCTCTACCCCCAAGCCATAAGACTAATAAATAGTTTGTCAAATAGTTAACCAATAGCTACCCGGACTATCTGACTTGACCCTTTTTGCACTAACTCTTTCGACTCATCACACACACTGCTGCTTCTGTTTATTATCTATCCTGTTGCCTATTAACTTTATCCCTACCTGTATGTACATATCTACCTCAATTACCTCGTACACACATCGACTTGGTACTGATACCCCGTGTATATAGCCAAGTTGTCGTTACTCGTTGTGTATTTATTATTTCTGTTATTATTTTTCTATTATTTATTTTTTTCTCTCTACATTGTAGGGAAGGGTCCGTAAGTAAGCATTTCACTGTTAGTTTACAAAGCATGTGACAAATAAAATGTTCCTGCATTGGTTGGCCCTGTTGTCTAAAGCTGAAAACAGATGGAAGTATAGTTTCATTTTTTTCTCTTTCTTAATTAATCAATGGTATTGAACCATAGAGAGAGATAGACAACTCATCTTTGCACCTGTGCCATTATATGGTCTGTGACAGCATGGGCACCGACATTGAGTCAATCTCCATTTTGAAGTAGTCAATTTTCTTCTTCACGATTGGCTGATCCCTGACGATTGACATGACTCCAACAGGATCACCAGGAGGGATCAGCCAATGAAGTTGGAAGTCCCAGTTGACTACATTAAAATGGTGGAAGCACTCAATAGCACTGCCTATGCTAATATGGCCCTTTGGCCATCATTCTCAATGTATTGAACAGTATGGAACAGCTCTGACATTTGAAGGGATACTTCAGGATTTTCTGCTTGCATGCTAGAACATACCATAGACTTCCAGCCATTGTGCTAACGCTAGTTAGCATTGGCTCGCGAAACTACCTCAAACTTCCTTCATACCGGACACAAAGACATAAACATGGTATCCACAAATTCATCTGACCATGGGGAAGTAGATTAATGCCAAAATCCTGAAGGATCCCTTTAATTCTCACTTCATTTGGCTCAGAGGAAATGTCTCCCCAGCCAATGGCATGGCTCCGTAATACATCACCGAGCCAATGATAGATAGTCTCTATGAGCTGCTGAACTGGATGCAATCCATCTTTCAACTGGTGGATATTCATTTGCAGGATAGTTGGCCTACTGGAGAAAAAATTATTTGAGCACACACGCACAACAAATAATGTGCTTTTAGAATTACTGTGTTCCATTTTCAAAGAGCGTTGGGTAATATTGCTCCTAATGATGTGCATCCTTCCCTCTGTGGACGTGCTCAATGTGTCAGAGTCATATTTATTTATTTTCAATTATTTGTTTGGTTAATTGGACCCCTGCATGTTTGATAAAGAACAAGGGGAGAGTCTTGGGGGAAATGTTTTATTCTGTTTGATCTGATGTCTTAATTTTGCTCCTTATTTGGTTCGATAGTTCAGAGAATTCACATTTGACACAACATATAAACTGTATTTAGGTTAAGCATCCTTTTCGATCCTTCAAACTGTGAAAAGGAGCACAAGGTCACAGCAACACTACGCAGTACGGATGTTGTCCTCTATCTCCACCTACTGGGCAAGATTCAATCTTGAAATCAAGGCCATGACAAACTGGAATAAAATTAGACAGACGGTTCACATTCATAGGTTCACATTTCATGAAATACTGTACTACACAGTAATCAGAAACAGGAAAATAACCTTAACATATTGATTACTAATGTCTAAGAAACTAATGCCCAGATACACAAACACAGATTATTTCGCCATCACTGGTTAATCCTGGAGTGTGTTAGCCGGTCCCAAATCACTTCCTAACCATCCATTTGGCCCTAACAACCCCTTCAATGTTTGCAGATCTGTAAGGTGGAAGCAATATGGTGGAAGGAGCTCCACTACACTGGTTACAACTACACCTACACATACCCTTGAGATCTGCAAGTATTGAAGTGTTAGAGCCAAGGATAGGGTTAGAGAGTCATGTAGGACTGTATTTGTGTGTTGTCTGCCAGTGTGTGTGTGCTAGCACACATATATATACCTGTCCCCTGTGTGCAGCACAGTATATATGGGCCGTTGTGGCAGCGCTTTTACTGTATGTGTTGCTTATTTTGGCTGCCTTATCACCCTGCCTCCTCCTGGGCTGACCTCTGCCCTCTGATCCCCTGCAGCTCTAAGCTCTCCAGCGTCCTATAACTGCTTTGTCTCATTTACAGACCATGCTTTTGAGAAGGAGCTGGAAACGATCCAATAAGGTAATACATGGCATGTAACCTCTAATACCAACTACCTACCTGCTCTACCCACCCAAACCCCTCCACTAGCCTCCCCCCTCCCCCAAAAACCCTCCACTGTCCTGGGTTCAGGTGGAGACCCAGCCCCTCTCCCTCTCCACCTCCTCTGTGTCCCTGTCACCTTTATCAGGTCTCACTCCATCATGTTTTATTTCCCTCAAGCTGCAATATCCAGACAGGTGGAACTGAGAGCAGTGACAAGTAGCAGGCATACTGTATGTACAGTACATGCTTGTTTGTTAGTCCAGATGGGGACTTCTGTACTTTGACTCTTTATAGTGACCAGAAGCTAAGGAATCCATGTGAAAATGTAGCCATTGTAACATAGTAACCTCACATTTGCCCTATTGTGATTTGGGCACCAGTCTTAAAGAATCAATAGTGAAACTTTAGTTGAATGTATAGACTGTGATTTCATAGTCTTTGTGCTGAAATATAGATATAGATACTATATTAAGTATATGTAGTAACTAATCAGGGTTGTCAGTTATAGTTGTTCATTTATGGAGTGTGGCTCTTGAAAACAGTTTGCCAAGACCCCACTGGAGCAAGTCCAGTGTATTGCTAGCCTGGCTGATACAACCCATGTGACCACACAGCAAGGAAGCGCGGTGACTCACTGGTCTGGAAAGGAGGACGCTTGTTAACGCAATATTTGCTCAGTAATTATTTAGTGGAAACATTGACTGGTTCCCTCAAATGTTTGTTTTTTCCTGGGGGGTAGAGAGCTGTTTGGATTTGAAAATCCAACCGTTGTAATGGAAGGAACAACATCAAAACAGCCTTTCTAGCAGAGGAGGCTGGTGGAAGGAGCTATATGAGGATGGGCTTATTGTAATGACCAGAATGGGATAAATTGAACGGTATCAAACACATCAAACATATGGAAACCACATGTTTGACTCTGTTCCATTAATTCCATTCCAGCCATTACATTGAGGCTGTCCTCCTATATATCCTCCCACCAGCCTCCACAGGACTTTGAGTTTGGTATTAGCCAGACCAGTGTATTGCAGCTGATGGGTGAGAAAATAAAGTGACTCTTTCTCCCCTGTCATCTCTATACCTCTCCCAGTGTTAAGGGGCCTATGTGGCTGAGGCAGCAGTTCGGCCTCTTTACGGAGACTGACCAGGCTCAACTTCAGGTCCAAACTAAAGCCAAGAAATGTCTGGCCCTTAATGGTCTTAGTTTAGAGATTGTAGATAGTCCTGAGAAAAAATGGATACATGCTTCTTTAATTAAAAAGGAAAAGAGGCGGTTGAGAGAAGGAGCTTGTGATGTGAGAGAGCGCCTTTTGGATGGAGGGATAGTTTTAGAGGTGTGTCTGTGTGTGTTGGAGGTTTACTTGCTGTTAAGCCAGATCTCCCAGGTCTGAGAAGAGACCCTTTTAACTCATGAGGACATCCACCCTGTGCATATCCTTTTGATTTCCCATCATGCCTAGCAGATTGACCCTTGACCTATGTTCCTCATCTTTGCTCTCTTTTATTTCCTTACTACAGAAGGAATGCTGGTCCAGGGGCCGCTTCTCCCTCTCATTGGCCCATATGTCTGTATCTGTAGCCAATAGCTATTCATGTTCTGTATCCTGTTTGTCACCTTGATTCCCTCTGCACCATAGAAGCCCTCTGGAGTTCAAAACCAGTAGGCTTATGTCTCTGTCTCATTTGAAACCAAACCCATGGATGGACTCTTGATGACAAACAACTTCCCACATTTCTCAGTGTTTCTGAAAGCAGCATTCTTGATCTGAAGGCATGTAGTCGAGTACAGTTGAGTAAAAGTTTGTTTGAGTTCATAAGGAGAGACAGAAACATAGTTTGAGCGTGTCTCTGGTTGGAGTGGTGCGGACGTCCTGCTGTAGTGCTTCCCCCAAACCAACCCTTTGAAGCTCCAAACTGGGCCATCCCGCCTGTGACTCGGGAATTATCTCCAGTGCTAACTAACTGCTGCACTTCCCCACCAAGCCCTACTTCTCCTGGGTGTCTGCCTGGCTGCCTACCTCCCTCCCTCCACAGTTATTTATACACCATCTTTAATCAAGCCAGAATAGTGCTGGACTCAATACATGCAAACAATGCAAGAACCACTGTGGCATAATTATAACACTAAAATAGTTTAAATCCGCTTCCCTTCAAGTCCATTAAAGCTAACTCATGCCTCTTTATTATCGCTCTCTGTTCTTTGTCCCATAAGTTGAAGAGTTCAATCACACACGGCTTTTGTTTTAGCCTAAATCAGTTCCTAAATTGATTGTTATTTTCAATAAGGGATTTCAACCCAACACTTACCCTCATATTTTATTTTCCCTGCTCTACTTTGGGCGTGGGGTGTTGTATCTGTTGATTCCTAATCCAAATCAGCCATGGGTTTTTACATAATGAGCGATATGTATCTACAAAACAATAACGCGGCCTCACAATTAGGCTTTTCACCGGAAGAGGAGTTAGCTAGCATAGAGCGGCACCCTTCGCCATTAGCATAACAACATAGTGTAGTAGGCTACTTGGACTTACTGTACAGTAGTGGGAGTATGGGTGGTAGTATCACACAGAGCCCAGCTCTCATTGTTTCATGTCTGGAGAATGGAAATGAATAGGCCTCGTCTCCACATCAAAGCGCCACTGCTTGTGTGCCAGGATTTGTTCAAAGTTTAATTAAATTCACTGCAAACAAAAGATATGCTAATAAGGCTCCTCCAAACGAGGCAGGGAGACAGTGATATAACTCATAGAGATGTATTTGTTTGACAAATAAGTACCGACGGCTTTATTTTTGGTTTTTTCTCCCCGCACAAGCGAGCAATAGCTGTGTGACTCCTGCCGAGGTTAAATTAGCCTGTAAGCGATTAGGAACGGTTAGAAAATGGGTTTTAAACTGAGGGGGGAGGAGCATCAATCAGAATTCATGCTGTCAGTGGTACAGCTCAATGGGTTTTATTATATTCAACTGCTGTCACTCAAAGATTCATAGACCAGAGCCTGTATTCATAAAGTGTCTCAGAGTAGGAGTGCTGATCTAGAATTAGCCCCCACCCCTGTCCATAGTCTTATTCTTTATGATCTAAAAAGTTAAACTGTGAGACACTTTATCAAAACATCCAGGTAAAAACACAGAGATGTCCATTGTTAGGTTATGATTGTGTAGCCTGGGACGTAAGCCTGTAGAGTGGACAGTAGAAGTGTCAAGGGTAGGATCTGAACCCAGATCAGGTACATTATCTATATTACAATGTACATGAGTGATCCACAGCATAATGGGTAAGCTGAACCAGAAGCTGACTCCAATGTTCTATGTTGGACTGTGTGTTTCTTCCTTTGCCTCCATCTCTTTGTATGGTCTTCATGTCTGTCATATGTATTGCGGTTTTTCTGCAGATAGAAAACTGTGATTGATTGTCACGATGCATAAGTTGGAATCTTATTGCACATTTATCTGTTTCTGTTTGCATGCTCGTGTGTGTGCATGTGCGTCTGTGTGTGTGGGTGTGTGTGTGGGTGTGTGTGTGGGTGTGTGTGTGGGTGTGTGTGTGTGTGGGTGTGTGAGGGTGTACGCAGCAGCTGCATTCAAGTATGCGGTTGTCAGATGTCCACAAGAAAGCTCAGCTGTGGAGAGGTATAGTGAGCATCAGTCTGATTGAGGCTCGCGACCTCCAGCCTATGGACGCCAACGGCTTCAGTGACCCCTACGTCAAATTCAGACTGGGCCATCAGAAATACAAGAGCAAGGTACCTACACCATCGCTCATGTACTGAACCTTCCAACTCATTTCCTAGCCAATTCTTAGCTACTTTAGCATTAGAGGATACACTTACAATACATTGCCAAAAGTATGTGGACACCTACTCATCGAACATCTCATTCCAAAATCATGTGCATTAATATGGAGTTGGTTCCCCCTTTGCATCTACAACAGCCTCCACTCTTGTGGGAAGGCTTGCCACTAGATGCTGGAACATTTCTGCGGGGACTTGCTTCCATTCAGCCACAAGAGCATTAGTGAGGTCGGGCACTGATGTTGGGCGATTAGGCCTGGCTCGCAGTGGGCGTTCCAATTCACCCCAAAGGTGTTCAATGGGGTTGAGATCAGGGCTCTGTGCAGGCCAGTCAAGTTCTTCCACACCAATCTCGACAAACCATTTCTGTATGGACCTCGCTTTGTGCACGGGGGCATTGTCATGCTGAAACAGGAAAGGGCCTTCCCCAAACTGTTGCTACAAAGTTGGAAGCACAGAATCATCTAGAATGTCATTGTATGCTGTAGCTTTAAGATTTACCTTCACCTGAACTAAGGGGTCTAGCCCGAACCATGAAAAACACCCCCTGACCATTATTCCTCCTCCACCAAACTTTACAGTTGGCACTATAGATTGGGGCAGGTAGCGTTCTCCTGGCATCTGCCAAACCCAGATTTGTCCGTCTGACTGCCAGATGGTGAAGCGTAATTCATCACTCCAGAGAACGCGTTTCCACTGCTCCGGAGTCCAAAGGCGGCGAGCTTTACACCACTCCAGCCGACGCTTGGCATTGCGCATGGTAATCTTAGCCATGTGTGCGGCTGCTCGGCCATGGAAACCCATTTCATGAAGCTCCTGACGAACAGTTCTTGTGCTGACGTTGCTTCCAGAGGCAGTTTGGAACTCAGTAGTGAGTGTTGCAACCCAGGACAGAGGATTTTTACGCGTTACGTGGTTCAGCACTCGGCGGTCCCGTTCTTTGAGCTTGTGTGGCCGTTGTTGCTCCTAGACGTTTCCACTTCACAATAACAGCACTTACAGTTGACCGGGGCAGCTCTAGCAGGGCAGAAATTTTACGAACTGACTTGTTGGAAAGGTGGCATCCTATGATGATGCCACGTTGAAAGTAACTGAGCTCTTCAGTAAGGCCATTCTACTGTCAATGTTTGTCTATGGAGATTGCATGGCTGTGTGCTCGATTGTATACACCTGTCAGCAACAGGTGTAGCTGAAATAGCCGAATCCACTAATTTGAAGGGGTGTCCACACACTTTTGTATATATAGTGTATGCATGTTCTTGCAGGGATCATATGTCAGTTGCTAACATTAGCATATTTTTATGATAAAATATTCACTTAGGACATCACTTGGTCTGGACTGAAAGGCATTGAATGCAACAATTATGTCTCTGTCACTAGCAAACACAGTCATGGGTGGTACTGGTACCTCTAAAATGCAATCGAAAGGCATCCTGGGAAATAAATAATCAAATAAGCCTTACAGTGTTAAAACAACACTCCAAAAGAAGTTAATGTAACACCACAGCTGTTAATTCCCTAACACTGAGAAAGTGTAACAGCATCAGCTCTAATAAAGTGTTAATTCAAGTTGGAATTTGCAACACCCATGGTGTTAGGGACCCAACACTCTTGGTTGTGTTAGTTTATTAACACTATTTGAGATGGTCACAGATCATTTCTAAGAAATTGTTACATTTAACAATGTGGGTGTTAAAATTCCGATTGCAAATTTGCTGCGCACAGATCCCTCTTTTTGTGTGCTCCATTCCCGCAGACGATACCCAAGACTTTGAACCCCCAGTGGAGAGAACAGTTTGACTTCCATCTGTATGAGGAGCAGGGGGGCTTCATTGACATCACCGTCTGGGACAAAGACGCAGGCAAGAAGGACGACTTCATGGGCAGGTGGGCTTCTCACACATTCAGACACACACACAAGCACACCTATACACACGCATTGAAACACACTTTCTTTTGTTCATTTCTCAACAACACCAATAGTCTCCCTCCTGTCTTTGTATGTGTATTTGATGTGAGATTCCCTCTTGGACCGAGGGTGACACTGCTTTTGAGTTCGCAGTCATCACTAAACCGTTAGCCCGACTCACGTTCGCTACATGTGCCTATGTGTGCGTGCGCGTGTGTGTGTGAATGTGTGTTTGACAAGTCCCCACTAAGACAGGAGGCTAATAGCTAGGAGAGGAGAGGAGAGGAGATTGGAGGAGCTCGTTTTGCATTTCTCCATACCTCTTCCTGGAGAGCTGGTGTCCACTGGTCCTTGCTTGTAATTGACTATTTCCCCCTCCTTAAATACCCATCTGGTTGAGTCCTGTTCCAGGCCCACTGATGTCCACGTCGCCCCTCTGTCCACAACCTATTGACGGATTCATTAACACACGCACACACATATAGAACCAGTGAGCCTGCCTGCTTCCCATTGCACCACTCACTGGAAAACGACATCTGTTTTCCCCTGTCTCAGCCTCTCTCTCTCTCTCTCTCTCTCTCTCTCTCTCTCTCTCTCTCTCTCTCTCTCTCTCTCTCTCTCTCTCTCTCTCTCTCTCTCTCTCTCCCGGTCTCTGCCTCTCTCGCTCTCTTGGTGTAGTGGAGTGGACAAAGCAACCCTGTGCCATAACCATGCAACATATTTTCAAATGACTGGCAGGCTACAGTAAAAGCAAAGTGATTATTGGGACCTGTCGACTGACTGAAGGAAATACATTATTTTTTGCCTTTCTTCTTTTCAACCTGTGGTCCTCTGGAGCTCAATTGGTAGAGCATGGCGCTTGTAACGCCAGGGTAGTGGGTTCAATCCCCGGGACCACCCATATGTAAAAAATGTATGCACACATGACTGTAAGTCGCTTTGGATAAAAGCGTCTGCTAAATGGCATATTATTATATTATTAGTACCTCACTATTTCTCTTCCCCACTTTCTCCTGATTTCACCCACCTGTCTCACTATTTCTCACTCTCACCCCCCCCCCCCCCCCCCCCCCCCCCCTCTCAATGTTAGAGTCTATATACCTGTATGTCTGTAATCAAAACGTGTGTGTGTGTTTCAGGTGTTCGATAGACCTGTCGCCGCTGAGTAAAGAGCACACTCATAAGTTGGACGTACCGCTGGAGGAGGGCGAGGGCATGCTGGTGCTGCTGGTCACACTCACGGGGGCAGCAGCAGTGTCCATCTCAGACCTGTCGGTCAATATTCTGGATGACCCACACGAGAGACACCAGATACTACAGAGATATGTGAGTTTTGTGTGTGTGTGTGTGTGTGCGTCAATAGGTGACCTTAATGGGAGAGGCCTTAGTGACAAGCCTCAGGTTCTAGGTCTCTCCTGCTCCCTCGTGTGGAGACATCAAGCAACAACACTTTGTCACAGACTTGTGAGAACAACCATGTCAACTTGTTTTCATTGGATCACATTTCCAACCAGGTCATCATTTCGATGCACTATAAAAACAATTGTTTTGCTTTTTTTGCAACAAGATCTCACAGTTTGACACGGTTTGACTTCAGTATTTTACGTTTGTAAAAACGAGTGACTATCACTGGGATTGAACACGCAACCCTTGGAGCCGGGGCTTGCGGCTGACGCCCATCCTCCATCCCCATCCATAACGCCCTAGCAAGCTGCAAGCCTACTTAATGGTGATAGCGCTCACCGTTGCCCCTAGTGGCTGGTTTTGAAGGCATCCCCCGACGTCCTGGCGACCTGAACGAATGTCAAATATCTCCTTGGATCTCGAGTGACCTGGCTGGGCTTTGACCTGGTAACTACTGCTGAAAGAGGGGAGGGGACCGAAGATGAGAGGATGGGGTACAGAGAAGAGAAAGAAAACAGGGGGTTGAGAGGTTAAGAGAGAAGACGGGCTCTGGTAGGTTCTATTGAAACTGAAGCTGCTGTGAATCCCTCCTCTCTCTCCATTAGTTTGTGTTTTTATACCAGAATGTGAGTGGTTGTGAATATTATTATTTTTGAATATTTAAAGGTCTCTGTGGGGTGTGCTAGTGTGTTATTTTACTGTTTGTGTGCCTGTGTGTGCGCCTGTGTGTGCGCCTGTGTGTGTGTGTTAGCTGAAAAATGCCTGGTGTCTCTCTGAGTAGTCCAAGGCCCCCTGTGTTCCTGAGGCCCTCCACACAGCACAATACACTCCGCCTGTCCCTTTGTCTTAGCGCTGTTAACCCTTCACTGGCTGTCTCTCTCAGCCTTCAGCCCAGCACAAAGATGCACACACACACACACACACACACACACACTGGGCACTGCAGCTCACTCATTGACAGCCCTGACAGGGGACACTCGTCACATATCAACAGTATGTTGTCTGATGGTAGTTGCTTAACGCCCTGATAATGCAGATTGAGGCCTGGAGGAGTCTCAGCATGCGTTCCAGCACTGTGCTGTGCTCCTTCATTAAGACAGGGAATGCTCATTCCTCTACCGTGCTGTGCCTGTGTGTTTTGTTTCTCTGTAGTTGCTGCATACTCTAGCAACCTACTTCATTTGTTTGTATGTGGGAGTTTGATTCTGTATCTGTGTATGTGTGTGTGTGTGTGTGTGTTTGTGTGTAAACTGTGCTCTAATTTAAGTTCAGAGTCCTGCTGGGTTGTGTGTTTGATCTGGGTGAGCTCCAGTGGAGAGCGCTCCACAGGCCAACCACGGACGCGTGACCTACATACCGCGCTAGCACCTCATTGGCTGGCCACAAGAGCACTCCCCACGCTGTAGTGGCGTCCCATGCTCAGAGGGGGGAGCTCTAGGACCGAGACAGGCGGCGGACGCGACTCTCTTCCTAAACACACGTAGAGCAAGGGCGGGGAGGGGAATGTGTGTGTAAGTGTGTGTGGGTGTGTAATAGGGAGCGAGAGGTAAGGGGTGAGGGTTGCGCTGGAAGGGGTAGGCGTGCAAAATGAAAAGAAAAAGCTATTTCACCTCTCACAACTGCAGCCCCCCTGTTTCTGCGCTGTAAAGGAGCGACATTTTCCCCCCACATCTTCTCTCTCCCTAATTTTCTCGCTCGCTCTTCGTCTCTCTGTGCAGGCTATGCTCTCTGTCTCCCACCAACGACCCCACTGGCCACCCGACTAGCAGCAAGGGGAGGATGGAGGGTTAGGGGTGATGAAGGGGGAAGGGGGGGTGAGTCAGCGGGGGGACAGTATGGTTTGGTTTGAAGAGGACTGCCGTCTATTAGCATATTCCTTTTCTCCTGACTGATGCCCTTTCAACGAGAGAATTTAATAAAGATGTACCTTATCAAGGCAGACCGATAACAGCAAGTGCTGGTACTAATGCTGTACAATACTCTCCAAAGCAGAGTAGTCTGAGTGTGTGTGTGTGTGTGCTCGTGTGCGTGTGCATGTGTATGTGGGTCTGTGTGAGTCTCGGTGTGTATGTGCATGTGTTCATAAATGTGTGTGCGTGAGGAGGTGTGTGTGAATCTTTGCTCAGGCGAATGTGTTCCCTGATATCATCAGTATGGAATCAGCTGTCTAGCAGACGGCTGTACAAAGCACCCACTAGTGCTAATCACTGCAACCTCCATAACACACCACCCACCCCACACCCTCACCCCCCTTCAACCAACCAATAAACGACTTAGTGAATGAATTGGCAGTAGGGGTTACAAGTGCCATGCATTTCATCATCATAGCGCCCAGGCTTTGAAGCACATATGCTGGCTCCTTAAAAACGTATAGATGAGGAATGAACGCAATTAAATCCCTTCTCCGTCCCCGGCTTCTCACCACCGGCCCAGCCCAACATCATTAACGCAGCACTGACATATCAGATGACTTTCGGCTTTCATCTGGCTGCTAAAGGAGAGCAGAGGAGAGGAGGGAGGGGCACAGGGCTGGGCTATTGAACCTCCCCACCCTCCACCCCCACCGACCACGTTAAGTCCCTGGTTTAATAGCATGTGGGAACAGGATGTAGACGTTAGCCCGTTAGCTCTCCGAGGTCAGCGTGTATCGCAGTCGTTTCCCTTCCTTAATCTTCCGGAATTGAAGACAACTGATAAAACACACCTGAGAGTGGGCTCTGGAGACGTTGGGCTTCTCAAAGTCCCTTTTCCCATCATATATGTATCTATTATACTCTGGCCCTAGGCTTTCCTAACCATGCATCTGTTTGATGAACAGTGGAGGGACATGGGCGGGCTTGTAGGTGTTAGGTGTGGTATTTCCCCCCTGTAATAGGTTTGGCTATTATTGTGTCTATAGTGCCTGGTACTGTCAAATGGTGTCTCTCTAGCTGTGAGTTATTCTACCATGATGAGAAACTTGGAGGGTTTACAGTAGGACGTTGTGTGTGCAGTGCTTGTGTTGGTTGCATTCAATTAACTGTCTCATCCGTGTACTGATACTCCCCATCCTCTCTCTTTCATGGAATTACATTAAGTTATTGATGATAGAGTATCTGAATTGATAGTGTATCTGTATCTTGATAGTGTATTTTTATATTGATAGTGTATCTGTATCTTGATAGTGTGTCTGTATCTTGATAGTGTGTCTCTATCTTGATAGTGTGTCTCTATCTTGATAGTGTATCTGTGCAAAAGTTACATTCTGTGTAGGTCTTTTCTTTAGCCTAAAGTATTAGTCTTGATCCACCAGTGTTCAAATATTAACGTGGTGGCCACTACTTCACCCCTCTGTCAAGCCCAGTAATGGTGCTTGTTAGTGTGTTGGTTATGTCAGCTCTATGAAGGTGAGGTGAGAAGAGGGAGTAGGGGGATTCATGCATACTAATGATGGAGGAGGACCTGGACTAATGGGTCTTAATGGGTCTGGGGGGACACACACTGACCTCTCCTCAAGTGGTGCCACTCCACTCTACTCCACTCCTGCAGCCCCTACACACCCATAACTCACCCTCAACCCACACAGAGGAGCGAGGGGGCACCTAGGAGGAGAGGAAGAGGTATAGAGAAATGCAGAGAGAGGGGAGAGAGGAGGAGGTGGAAGCTGTTAGCATTCCATTTTTATTATGACATTTCACAGTCATCCGATTTAATGTCCCCTGACCGGATTGTCCGTCCGGCAGACGGTGGGTTGAAATGTTATTTGGAGCGTTGATAAAAGGTGAGGCGCCTCCGAGATGACAGCGAGTCGTAAGGCTCAGCATGCTGACATTCATTTTCACCACAACAGAAATGGAATAAGACGTCACAGTGACAAGCTGTCAGTCAAGCCGGGGCCCCATCATATTACCATCCCCTCCTCCCCCTTACTCACCCTCGCCACATGCAACCACCCCCCCTCCACCCCACCTCCCGATCCAATCCCTGCTGGTGTGTAGGAGTTTGATGGGGGGGGGGGGGTGGATGGGGGGTGGATCCTCTTCAGTAATGGGGCTAGGCTGAACCCAGAGAGAGAGAGAGAGAGAGAGAGACTCGTCAGCTTGGTAGCAGGGAGGATGGAGGGTGGGAAAATATATTCTACAGCCTTTCATTAAAAAAATAAAGAGGCCTCATCTCCTGAGCTTTTCAATCTATCTGCCTGTCTATTGAGAGGGCCTGAAAAGGCAGCCACGCAAATCAGAAATTCCTCTGCTATGGAAATGTTCCAGCTTCACAAATCAGCCATGTTTTTTTTTTCTTTCTCTCTCTCTCTTAGGCCATCCCCAATAATCACAAATAACAAGCTGTCGTATCTTCAGAGAAATCATGTATTAAACTTATGTGGAAAGGTTTTCTTTCCCCCTCTCCTTCCTCTCCTCTCATCTTCTTTCTAAGGCTTTTCGACAATAATATCGCTGGAAACAGGCAGAGGCTGATAGAGTTTATAATAAATTAAGTCTGTAGCCTGGCCCTGACTCGGAAATTTAAATTATAATTACTCCTCTGGGTATGTAAGGGGTTATTGCCAGAGAGAGAAATAAATTGAAGTGAAGTGCGTTTTCACTGCTTTTAAGGCACACCAGCACGGCTCTCAGTACGGCCTCAGCGCACATCTTTGTATGTATGTGTGTGTGTGTGTGTGTGTGTGTGTGTGTGTGTGTGTGTGTGTGTTTGTGTTTGTGTGAATGCATATGCCCTGACACACACACATTGACCTCCTCAGCTCTTTTCTTTATCTGTGCTGCCTGCCTATCTGACCTGTGTGAAGGGACAATGATGCTGGTGCTAACATGGAGATATGTGTTTTCATTGAGTGCTGGAAAGGTCACAGAGAGAGTGGAGGTGTGTGTGTCTGTGTGTGCGTGTGTATATACCAGTATGACCAGTAAATAAGTGATGGTGCCCAGTGACTATCACATCACTGCCTGAATCCCAGTCATGCCTCAGTGGGCGTGTCTGAGCTCTGCAATATATCTATTATCATTAAATGATGTATTTCTCTCTCTCTCTCTCTCTCTCTCTCTCTCTCTCTCTCTCTCTCTCTCTCTCTCTCTCTCTCTCTCTCTCTCTCTCTCTCTCTCTCTCGCTCTTGCTCTGTTCACACAAAACAGAGAAGTTAATGGCATTATTCTAACACGTAGTGCCTGTGTTTTAAAATAAAAAAGAGACAGATAGAGAGTGGAAAAAACGTAGACTGGCTTGACAATAAAAGGACATTTTGCCCATTCGACTCCACTTGATGTGACCATTTGAATGTCAGTGGTAAATTGCTGAACTCAAAAAGGGTTACCCTAGGCTTAATGTTCTCAATGTACTCTTCACCCCTGACCTCTGACCTCTATCCTGCAGAGTGTTCTGAGGTCGTTCCACAACCTGAAAGACGTGGGTATGGTCCAGGTGAAGGTCATCAGAGCAGAGGGGCTGATGGCAGCAGACGTCACGGGTAAGTCAATAAGTAAAACTCCGCTATCAAGAGTGAAGCATTTTATTAAATCTGTCACTTAAAAACACACCCGCTTGTCTGTTAGTTTCCACAAAATTGAATCTTCCCATGCCAAATGTATAAAACATCAATCCATCAATGTAGTTTAATTGACAATGGCAACAAGAACCCTTTGAGACAGTACATTTTATTTGTCACGCGCCGAATACAACCTTTTAAATAAATATATTTTTCCTTTATTTTTAATTGTTTTCTATCTTTCTCTATTTTTTATTTTATTTAACTAGGCAAGTCAGTTAAGAACAAATTCTTGTTTACAATGACGGTGTCACGCCCTGGCTCTGGGGACACTGTTATGTTGAGCCAGGGTGTGTAGATCAATGTGTTTTGTTTTCTATGGGTGCTATTTCTATGTTGGCCAGAGTGGCTCCCAATCAGAGGCAACGAGTGTCAGGTGTTGCTGGTCGTCTCTGATTGGGAGCCATATTTAAACAGTCTGTTTTTCATTCGTGTTTGTGGGATTTTGTTTCTAGTCGGTTGTGTTAGACCGTGAACTGTCACGTTATCGTTTTGTTGTTTTTTTGATCGTGTCTCTAATAAAGAGTATGTTTGCCTGCAACGCTGCGCCTTGGTCCTCATCTATTCCTGACGATCGTGACAGACGGCCTACACCGGCCAAACCCGGACGACGCTGGGCCAATTGTGCGCCGCCCTATGGGACTCCCAATCACGGCCAGTTGTGATACAGCCTGGAATTGAACCAGGGGGTCTGTAATGACGCCTCAAGCACTGAGATGCAGTGCCTTAGACCGATGCGCCACTCAGGAGCCCACCTTACAGTGAAATACTTACTTACAAGCCCTTAACCAACAATGCAGTTTTAAGAAAAATAAGTGTTAAGTAAAAAATAGATAATAAAAAATAAAGACCAGCAGTAAAATAACAGTAGCGAGGCTATATAGAGGGGGTACCGGTACAGAGTCAATGTGCAGGGGTTAGGGGAGAAGCTTAATTTAAACCACCAAGTCTCCAAAATATTTATCTGACATCCTAGTTTCTCCATTAATTCATACTTTTAATGAGGTCTACAGTGGACAGGCCCACTTTACTATTTCACAGTGTGTGTTATCTAGTGAAAGTGAAGTGGGAGTGAGTTAGCTTGGCCTTATTCAGGGGAGAGGACCCACACACATTAGCGGCTAGAGCCGCGCTCCTCCATTTCCTTGTTGGAGATAGCAAAGCGACAGTAACAAGGGCTAATGGCTCTGCCTGTGTTGTTTTACCAGAGAAACAAATGGAAATCCCTCCGCTATGTGCTGCTGACCTCAATACAGAACTCATATCTCAGTCTGGGTTTTACTGTAGCTATTCTACAGTAAAGTATTCAGCCACTTTCAGAACCAGAACTTCTGCAGAAATTCTTCTGTAATGATGGACAAATATGACTACGATAGGGAAGTGCATAGGCCAACAGAAGTGCAATGCCTCAAATGTCCTTTGAGTGAAGTTGTGTGTCCGCTTTTCATGCATTGGACTCCGGTGGTGTTGTCAGTGTGAGTACTTGTAGAGAGCTACGCACTGTCAAGTATCACCATTTTGAGGCTCTCGCTCTCTCTCTCTCTCTCTCTCTCTCTCTCTCTCTCTCTCTCTCTCTCTCTCTCTCTCTCTCTCTCTCTCGCTGTTAGGTTGTCCTCTCCACCCTCAATTTCACGATATCACCCCTAACCAGATGGTACATACCCTCCACTAATCCCGCCCTCACAGATTGATCAGCCCATCGACCACCCCATCTCTCAGATGGTTTGCTCCATCCTCCAGCCCCACCCCCTCAGATGGTCGGGTCCACCACGCTGACCTGCTAACCTTGCCAGGCTTTTCCAGTGTGTGTTTGTTTGTGTGTGTGCGTGTGGTGTTCCCAAGGGAATGAGAGAGGGAAAGAGAGAGAGAGAGAGAGCCCATGAGAGAGAGACCATGAGAGAGAGAGAAACCATGAGAGAGAGAGAGAGAGAGAGAGAGAGAGTGACCATGAGAGAGAGAGAGAAACCATGAAAGAGAGAGAAACCATCTGTTTGGCAGTTTGTCCCATCGCTACTCTACTTGTGGCATTTACATGAAGTATCTCTACTCCAGCCCAGTATAATAACTGAAAATAGTCTCTAAAACCAACAATCCCATTTGATGAGGTGCTCTTACCCGTGTGAGTACCTCCCGTACTGTTCCAGCCTTTCAAAGACACACAGGATCTTCCCAGTGAAGGGGGCATGCAGATCAATTTACTGCATCAATATAAGAGGAAGTTTGTTTATTCTTGGAGGACCAATCTTTGTAATGGAATTTGGGATACAGTAAAAAGTGCTTTGAGCTGAGGCTTCAATATTACTATGTAACAGATTGGTAATAACATGTATCAACACTTTGCAAGGGTGCAAGCATGCACTTGACTGACAGTGTAATACTGAGGATAGTCTTAGTGATGTAGTGATGACAGTAAGGGATGTATTGAGACTCTCAAACACTGCAGTATAAAGCATGCTGCTTTCAACATCTCTAAAAAGGAACTCAGACTTGCCTCCTGGAAGACAACGACATCACCTCAGTTCCACCGCTTTGCTTAGCTCAGTTTAACACGCTTATCTAACTGCTGCCTGAAATTAGTTTGAAGCTCTCGCCGTGAACCCAGCCACGATATGGAAAATGAACCCGGGGAGGAGCTCTGGCTGGCCGTTTACCTGGACTGTCAAAGTAGCCCTCAAACCTGAGCGTGTAATTGGCTGAGACAGCCGCCTCTGGTGCTCTCCATTAAGGTGAAAGTTCATCACCAGCGACAACCACTCACCACCGCAGCCACATTGCCTGCATATTATTAAAGGAGAACACCGTTAGAGGGGGATTATTTTGTTTTCTTCAAAACATTTAAATCAATTTCAGTCAATTGTAGCTCATTCGAGAGTTGTGTCTTTCATATTCTAGTGACCATACAAATATCATGAAAAACTGGGTGTTGATGCAGTAATTTAGGAAGATGTAGTATATTGTTCCGAATTTAGGAAAGGAACATAAAACAGGAGCACTTTTTTTTGCATCATCATACTCAAAACCCTAGTTTCTGAATTGTAAATACAAATTTTTTCTTTCTATATTTTATATAATTTAGTATTTCTTATGATTTGTTATCATGCCTATATGGAAATTCACAATATTTTATAGCATCATCAGTTTTCACCAACTACTCGATTAGTACATTTTTTATTGATTATATTAAATGAACAAATGATAAAGCATGTTCTGTTGTAAAAGTGAACCCACTCTTCTAACTGATAGTGAATTATTCTGTATATAATGATGTTGCATTGTAGGAGTGAGTGTCAATATCAACTTGAAGCGTACCGGCAGATCAATACGTGCCACAAATAGATGTGAAAGGTAACACCTACGGCTCCACATTGATCACTGTGACATTTGTTTAGCTCTCCCACTAAATGTCCTGCCCTTGTCACAACATTAGAAGAAACTCACCGGAATCAATGGAGCCGTTACCCAACGCGCTGCCTCAACGGGGAATTGACGCATGAACCTAAATTCAGCCTCGCCTTCAACCACATTTGTTCTGTTCTTAACTTAATTATTAAAAGCAACCACACACTCTTGAAGTCATTTTATTTCACATTACGCTCTTGGGGAATTTGAATGGGATATGTTTCTCTCTCCCTGACCTAGCTTTTAAGAGTGATCTGCTTGAACAAACAGCAAAAGTGTTCCCAACAGTTCTGATAAAAGTAAAGATGAAAGCTGGAATTAAGAGTTTCTTTTTTTTTGGGGGGGGGGGGGGGGGGGGGGGGGCAGTTATTTAAATTTACAAAGAAACAGTAACATGTATTTCCATACACAAACACAGAATATATAGGACATTAGTTGGGGGTAGTACAATATGCGACTCTCTGGAGAAGTGTCCAACCATAATGATTATGTCTCTATTTCATGGCTTTCAAATTGTGTGTTTTTCTTTTAACTGTAAAACTTTCTGGAATGTTTCCTTTGAAAGTGGAGAATTACATAAGACAAATATTCTGCCAAATATTACTTTTGTTAACACTGCTGATTACATATTTACTGTACAGCTATCATCTCCATGGTGTCTTGCATCATGCTACTCATTGAATGGCAAATTATGTCAGCCTGTTAATTGCGTGAGCCTGTCTTTCTTAAACATGCTGCCATCACATGACTTGGCTTAGTATACAACATAATGTATGTCCAAAATATCAGAACCAGTAATGCAGTGCCTTGCAAAAGTATTCATCCCCCTTGGCATTTTTCCTAATTTGTTGCATTACAACCTGTAATTTATATTGATTTTTATGTGGATTTCATATAATGGACATACACAAAATAGTCAAAATTGGTGAAGTGAAATTAAAAAAATAACTTGTTTCAAAAAATTTGAAAAAATAAATAACAGAAAAGTGGTGTGTGCATATGTATTCACACCTTTTGCTATGAAGCCCCTAAATAAGATCTGGTGCAACCAATTACCTTCAGAAGTCACATAATTTGTTAAAGAAAGTCAACCTGTGTGCAATCTAAGTGTCACATGATCTGTCACATGATGTCAGTATATATGCACCTGTTCTGAAAGGCCACAGAGTCTGCAACACCACTAAGCAAGGGGCACCACCAAGCAAGCGACACCATGAAGACCAAGGAGCTCTCCAAACAGGTCAGGGACAAAGTTGTGGAGAAGTACAGATCAGAGTTGGGTTATAAAAAAATATTCGAAACCTTGAACATCCCACGGAGCACCATTAAATTCATTATTTTAAAAATGGAAAGAATATGGCACCACAACAAACCTGCCAAGAGAGGGCTGCCCACCAAAACTCACGGACCAGGCAAGGAGGGCATTAATCAGAGAAGCAACAAAGAGACCAAAGATAACCCTGAAGGAGCTGCAAAGCTCCACAGCGGAGATTGGAGTATCTGTCCATAGGACCACTTTAAGCCATACACTCCACAGAGCTGGGATTACGGAAGAGTGGCCAGAAAAAAATGCAGTCTTCCAGAGATTTGAGACTGGGACGGAGGTTCACCTTCCAGCAGGACAATGACCCTAAGCATACTGCTAAAGCAACACTTGAGTGGTTTAAGGGGAAACATTTAAATGTCTTGGAATGCCCTAGTCAAATCCCAGACCTCATTCCAATTGAGAATCTGTGGTATGACTTAAAGATTGCTGTACACCAGCGGAACCCATCCAACTTGAAGGAGCTGGAGCAGTTTTGCCTTGAAGAATGGGCAAAAATCCCAGTGGCTAGATGTGCCAAGCTTATAGAAACATACCCCAAGAGACTTGCTGCAAAAGGTGGCTCTACAAAGTATTGACTTTGGAGGGGTGAATAGTTATGCACACTCAAGTTTCTTGTTTGTTTACAATAAAACATATTTTGCATCTTCAAAGTGGCAGGCAAATGATACAAACCCCCCCAAAATCCATTTTAATTTCAGGTTGTAAGGCAACAAAATAGGAAAAATGCCAAGGGGGTGAATACTTTCGCAAGCCACTGTATAAGGGATAACACATTGTGTAGATAATGTGTAGATAACGTCAATCTTGCTGTGATAGTGAAATGACATCAGTGTGTTCCTCTGGCGCTGCCTCACAGTATCTCCACTTGTTTGGAATAACTTCCACCGGAGTTCACCCACTTCACCTCCAGTCACCAAGTCTGTCTTACTAAACTCCCTAGCTCCTCTCCCCCCTCCCTCCCTGCCTCCCTCTTCTCAGTCCCATCCCTGTCAGACAAGATGTCTACTCTCTCTCTCTCTCTCTCTCTCTCTCTCTCTCTCTCTCTCTCTCTCTCTCTCTCTCTCTCTCTCTCTCTCTCTCTCTCGCTCTCTCGCTCTCTCGCTCTCTCTCTCTCTCTCTCGTGCCCCGGGCAGAGATTCCATAGTGCTTATCAGGTGGTGTCCGAGCGCTAGGATCCTTGTAGCAGGGCCAGTGATATAGTGTAGCATGGTGTAAAATTAATGTATCACATCATTACTGTAGGTGATAAATGGTGGGTGGAGCTGTCATGCGGTGAGGAGGAGCAGGAGGGCTATGTGGGAGGTAATTCTCTGATCAGCTCCTGGCTGTTTATCTGCACCTCTTTATCAGTTAGAAAGCTAGCGCTACTGCTAACCACCATCGCTGCTTCCCCCGTAGGCTCCGTAGGCCAGCCGACACTGGATTAGACAGGAATAAACCAGACATAGATAAAGTTAATAAGGCTCCTCTTTTTATCGACATGTCTCTCGCTGTCTCTCCCGCTCTTGCTCCCTCTCTCTCTTTCTCTCTCCCTCTCTTTCTGTCTCCCCCTCGCAGGCAAGAGTGACCCCTTCTGTGTGGTGGAGTTGAGTAATGACCGGCTACAGACACACACCGTCTACAAGAACCTCAACCCCGAGTGGAACAAGGTCTTCACCTTGTGAGTGCACTTCTGTACCCCATGTTGCCACAGACATACCCACTCATGATCTCATACTGGGTGGTCTCTCTCTCTATCTCTCTCTCTTTTATCGCTCTCTGGCACATGACGGTACTTGATATACACACACATAAATCTAAATATACTGTTGTGTCAATTGTGTTGCACCTGTACCAAATAAAATAAGAACAAAAAATTTATTATTTTAAGAAGTATTACAATACGTTATTAATACATTGACGGATAACCATATGCCTCAATTGTATTGTTATCATAACTTGAATACAAGCGATGATTGTAACAAAACAATTATAGCTATTACATTTACAAAATAGAAATAAAACAGCCTCATTTTAAAAACAGTTTCACATTCCCTGCTATCCCTGTTTCCAGTTGGGTCATGTATTTACATTTGCCAAAGGATTTTGTAAAAATGTAAATGTTATTTTGGAATGCACATGATAATACACATTTTCAATTATGAATTCTCATATTTCTGTAAATATCTCGATTATCATTGTGTGGAAAAGCACATTTTCTAAAACATCTTGATTGAATAATACAATCAAACACTGTCATTTCTAATGTATTTTATTCAACTAGCCAAACATTGCACAGCGTATGCACTTAGCCTTCTGTAAATATAGAAAATATATTTATATGGGAGAAAAAAAGTTTTGTATTTTCTTTTTTTTTGAGGGGTGGGGGGGGGGGGGGGGGGGGTAACAGGTACAAAAACAATTAAAGAGTCACATCGAAAGATAACCCCAACCCATTCTCCCCCTCAGTCTCCATCCACCCCCTCACATCCTCCCTCCCCAAATCTATTTATTTGACAGTATTATTGAGTATTCATACATTCATACATCTATACATCTCATAGAAAACATAGCTAATGCTAGTCAATCATGGAGATTTAAATTCTGAGGTCTACGTTTCATTCCCTGGTAAATCTTTCCGCCTATGAATGTATTTTTTGATTGATATGCAATAGTTTTCATTGGATTCTATACATGACTATGTACATATGTTTATATGTTTATATCTCATATCTATATCTATTTATTCCAATCTTCTTTATGGGGAAATACACAAGTGAATTCCCATGGAAAGCTGGGTCATTGAGTCGTCCTTTGAGCAATGCCGCACCTATCTCTCCCTTTAAGAGTAACCTCCTTTCTTTCCATCAGCATCCTCACTAGCCTACTTTTCAAAGATAACGTTTCATAACCACGATTCTCTTCCTCCTACAACTCTCGCACTCTTTAGTTGAGTGCAAAGGTCATAGAGGACTGTAGTTTCATCATGCTACGAATGGTGTGGGAGATGTCTGATTGTAGTGGTTTAATTGTTGTTCTGTGGCGAGCAGTAACGTGAAGGACATCCACTCAGTGTTGGAGGTGACGGTGTACGACGAGGACCGAGACAGGAGTGCAGACTTCTTGGGGAAAGTGGCCATCCCTTTACTAAACGTGAGTCCTCCTGATGAAATGTCTCTGCTATCTATCGACTCCCCTTGGGGAAATACTGTTGAAAAAAACACAATAAATTTTTTGCAACTGTGGATGAGACTGTTATCATTGAGAGAGAGAGATAGAGAGAGAGAACGTGGTAATGTACCCTGGCGGGCTGATTCCCCAGGATAGTTAATTTCTCCCTGACAGTGCTGTGGTGGTAATGAACAGGTACTTGTCAGAGTTGCCACAGTTGTTTTGGGCTCTCTGTCAGATGCAGCAGCTGGGGTTCAAAGGTGGCCCAGGGAGTGTATTCAGCCGGGTATTGCCAGACAGACGGCTGTCATGTCCCTCTCCCACAGATTCAAAATGGTGAACGGAAAGCCTACGCCTTGAAAAGCAAGGAGCTGACAGGGCCAACAAAAGGGGTCATCTTTCTCGAAATAGACGTGATTTTTAACGCTGTAAGTCTCTCTCTTTTCCTCCTCCCCTGTTTCCCTAGTTTGTCCCCACCCCCCCACCCTCCGCACTCCAGCACCATTGTCTTTATTCTGTTTGTCCTCCCTCCCCTGCCATCTCTTGTCCCCCGTCCTCGTTTTCAGTTTAATTATCGAAAACTCCCACTCAGCCGCCTTTGTTCACCCATTCGTTGTCACTGTGTGTGTCCTGCTGGCGGCCATCTTAGTGCTGTGTGTGAGGGAGAGAGATCTTACTGTAGTCTGTGACGTGTGCCATTACTCTCAACAACATATCTGCATGTATTCAAGATGGTGAATTCAGTTAGAGATCTATCTACGCCATATTGTGAACGATCCCAATAGAAATACTGGTAGGCATATTGTGTTATTGCGATAATATCCCACCATAGGCTGTGTGTTATAATGTGTCTATTATTCCCACACCAGGTGAAGGCAGGTCTCATGACGTTGATACCCAAAGAGCAGAAATACATTGAGGATGAGCCCAGAGTGTCCAAACAGGTAGGTCAACACCGCCACCCTCCACTCTGCTGCCCCGTTTAGCTCAGCGTCTACCACAGTCCTCCATTATATTAGATATTTTAACAAAATCCAACCAGTTTTGAGAGGCATCTTTTGAGGCCACAACAGTGTGGACAAGAGCGAGAGAAAAACGTACCTCTCTTTCCCACATCCCCCCCTCCTCCCCAGCTCTCTCCTTTACTGTGAGTGGTGAATAGAAATGTCAAGCTGTCAGCTCTGGGGGTGTATAAGTAGATTGGCCATCCTTAGTTGGCCCTCTGTACCACTGCTGCTTTGCACTTCATTGTCACACCACTCAATGTGGCGGTCCCACAAAGGGCTGAATCGTGGGGGCTTGCCCACATCAGACGTGTCACATAAACGCCGTTTGGGCTGAGCAGTCACCCACTCTTATACCCTTTTGTCTCTCTCCCCTCCTCTTCCCTCTCTCTCTCCTTCTCTCTCCCTGTGCCAAAAGATGCCCACTCTGCACTTTCCCCTGTGTGATCCTCCCCGTCCACCCTCCCTGTTTGCGCTTCTCTTTTTTCATCTATACTTCACCTCTGACTCATAGTGATGCCCCATGTCAACGTCTCTGAATGATGATGTCATCGATTGCTTTAGAGAGATTGCCCCGTGAGGGCTCTTTTGTGTTGGGCTAATCCCTGCTGTGGCCCGTTGCCTGTCGTTACACACACAAACCCCAAAAGTAGCCAGTTAAATACAGACATTATATTACATTATATATAATTAGACGGTTAATATCTGAATTCAGGATATTACCAGAGCCAGGACCTAAGCAGGAAAAACTCCACGTTGTAGTTATAGTCTATAACTAGGGTCCAGAGTTTTTCCTGGTCCAGTTATGTGATCACGGGGAAACTCCTGGCCCTAGATATTACTACTCACGTTGGTTGAAACTTGCGTATTAAAAACTAAATGTGTGTAGCACTTTAGAATAGTCCCTCTGCTGCTAGTTACAGTAGTGTGATCAAAGCGTGGCCGTGTGAGACCATGCGGGGATGTGGGTGACTCAGAGTGCTGTTGTCTTCAGGGGGTGGATGTCCCCACCAGGACACCGTAGACACACAGTCATTCTCAGTTCACCACTACTCTCCGTTGAATAATGAATTAGGTGGTGCTGTAAAAAGCACAATTCCCCCTAAACATCCCAGAATCCTCTTAAAGACACATCAGAATAGATATTCCCTCTTGGGGGACTACTTCCTGGATGTGACCTGATTGGCTGACTTCTATTCTGTCATGTTGTTGTGGTGTTCCCTGATTGGAACACAGCGGAATGGGACTGCGGTGCTTTCCCCATCGCTGGCCAGATGCCTGCCTGAACTCCCTAGGGATGTGAAATCATCACAGGCCGTTAACACTATTACTATTCCTTAACTTCATTTGAAGAGCTAGCTTTAAAACACACAGCCTCAGTGAACTTGATTTAGTGATTGGGTTTCCTATACACTCAGCATTTTGTTAACATTATTGTGCCAATACTTGACCAACACTAGGCTGGCAACATGATGGGGTATGAGAAACCAGACAATGTATTGTCCATGTTGCGCGTTGCCCTTTATTGCTCCAGTATCTCATACCCCATCACATTGCCAGCAACATTACTAGGCAATATTGCCCAAAACATTTTTATTGCCAGTATTATGTCCTGAATACGTTTTGTAACACGGCTTGGTTGAATACTTAATTCTGCTTGGTCGTGTTAGAAGTGGATTTTTTTATAATATATATGTTTTATATATGTTTGTCTTTAATAATACTATAGTCACTTCCACATACCGAGTGACATTGTTGGGGAATGTTACTAATAGTTAACATGCAAAGATTTATTGACCTATTGACTATGACATATGATAACAACTAATACCAGGGCTGATAAGTCCTTAGAAAAACAACAGCATGATGCTAACACTTAGAGTAGTAACAAAGGAAACATGTAGGAAAGACAGTTCGGCTGACTTAGGTAGAAAAGCTAATTGAGATGTGAGGACAGACACTGATATAGTTTTAGCTTACAGAGGAGTTCTCCGAGAAAATGTATCTCTGCCCAAATATTTCCCAAGCACTACAGTCTGGTTTTCGAAAACATCTAGAATACATTGTTGTTCGTTATCAGGCACCTGTGGCCTGTTTTCGTCTTATTCGAAAAATCCTATGGTTTAGCCTGCCTATGGAGAGACAGCTGCAAGATTGCTTTGTTTCTATGATACATTTTCCAGACATGATTCATCCTCTCCTGTCTTGCATACAGCCTACCCAACGTTCTATATTAATCAATCAAGTAGCAGTCTCTAGGACCTCCTCATGAATCATATTTCACTATCATCCTTGGGTTAATTTTCCTGCGTACATCGTGGTATTAAAGAAGTTCAAGTGAAGTCCCAATTGTTGTCCTCGCCGCTCTTTCAGTCGAGAGGGTGTTGATTACATATAATGACATAAAGAACTATAGAATGAGTGTCGACTCCAAAATGATCGATTCCTCGACTCCTTGACCATCGACCGCCATCAACGCCGGCTGTATTGTTATGTCTGTTTCTATGTCATGTTTATGACTGCTTATGTCACGTCTAGTTGCTGCTGCAGAACTTCAACAGAGTGAGGCGCTGCATCCTGTTCCTCATCAACTCCGGCTGCTACATCAACAGCTGCTTCGAATGGCACTCGCCTCAGAGGAGCATCTGCGCCTTCCTGGTACTAATACATTCATTTACATACACACCTCATGTACATATACATATGATACAGTACATATAGACTACATATACACACACTCATCTGCCCCTTTCTGGTACTAACCCTTCTGACATAGGCTATACAAATACATATCTGTACATATAGATTTAATGAACAATAGATGTACCACAGTATAAATATACTAATATATTTCACAAAACACACTTAAACCAGTGTATCACCTGGATAGGATGGACTTCAACAGGGCAAGGAATCAAACATTCACCAACCAATCTAAGGCCTACACTCTTAGAAAAAAAGGTGCTATCTAGAACCTAATAGGGTTATTCGGCTGTCCACATAGGATAACCATTTGAAGAACCCTTTTTGGTTCCAGGTAGAACCCTTTTGGTTTCCATGTAGAACCCTTTCCACAGTTGGTTCTACATTGAACCCAAAAGGGTTCTTCCTGGAACTAAAAAAGGTTCTACCTGGAACTAAAAAGGGTTCTCCTATGGGGGACAGACGATAATAACCTTTCTGGCAAGCGTGTGTCTTATAAGAGTTTGTAGAGAAAGTTCGGAATGTTAGTGTAGCAGAAAGTTCTGGAGTATCTACTCTATCTACTCTACTACTACTCATCTCGCTCTATACTATCTACTCTAAGAGTATCTAATGAGAGAATATACATAAAGAGAATCGAAGTATATCTCATATATATATTAATATAATATATAATCTCTATCTTCGATATACTCTCTCTCTCTCGCTCTCTCTCTACGCTTTTCCGATTCTCTTGCTTCTCTCTTCTCTTACCGCCCTCATCCTCTCTCTGCTCGCTCTTGCATACTCTCTCTTTCTCAAAGTTACTATATATCTCTTTAAACGTTCTCCTCATCTCTACATCTCATCATCTCTCCCATCTCTCTATCTCTATCTAGACTAGCTCGCTCTATAACGAACTCTCTATTGAACTAATTTATCGATATAATATGCAGCTTGAGTATATAGATAATTATATCTCTTATCTATAATAGTGAGAGAAGATTAGAGAGAAAGAGAGCACGATAGAACAAAGCAATAGGGAGATGAAAGCAGACGGAGAGAGGAGCACGAAGAAGAGAGCAAGAGAGGAGAAGGAGAGAGAGTATACGAATATGAGCAATAAGACTCCATTTGATAGTTCTGATAGAGAGCTGCGATGGGGAGTCGTAGATCATCATTACGAGTCACTTGTCGTCCCGACAGGGTGGGCTCAGTATGCGGTTTGCGCAGCGTTGTAGTCATGTATTATGTGTAATAAGTGTATTTATAGTCAAAGAGGAGAGTAAAGTCCAAGAGATTCCCCGCTCTCTGCCCTGTCACCTGACAGCTGGGTATTGTCAGCTGTGTACAGTAAATTGAGACCTGCAAAGAGCTACTCACTTTAAAAAGGCACACCCTACCTGAGTTGCTGCAATCTGAATGCGCATACTACACACAGACAGATAGTCTATTAGAACAGGCCAGGATGTTGTTGGAACCCTTTTTGTCCTTTGTGGAAACAGAAAATAAGTAGCATACATATACCTGTCTGTTTGTAGAGAGTTATTAAGGTGATTTTGATTTTGCATGCATGAGAAAGCCACATTTATTGGAGTAGAAGAGAGTCTGAGCCCTTTCTTGGGGTCGTTGCACTAAGGCCGTGTCGCAAGTGTGAACTGTTCAGCTGTGAAAATGGTTTAGAATTTGAATGTTTAAGAAAAATTTTTAATTTATGATATGCTGAGCGGGATATTGCGTAAGAGATGAGGTCAGATGTAGAAGGTGTGTAGTGCATTGTGGACTAGTGATGTGTCAAGTAGATGTTGTATGTAGATATAGTTTACTGATGTGTGGAATGTGTGTGGTTTGTATGTTTTTCGTTGATGACTGTAGACTGATTTGCACCGAAGAGGCCCGCCGAGGATTTCCGACAGCGGGAGCCGACGAAAGAAGGGAGGAAGATTACTGGGGGAGGGATGTACGAAAACATAACTAAATCTAAAGCACGTATAAATGTATGTTGAATCTTGAATTTGTGTAGTATCAACTGGGATGTTGTTGATGGACGTGGGTAGAGTGTGAAGATGAGGTATCGAAGGTGGACTAGCAAGTTCGGCGGATTTGACAATGTGTTAGAGATTGTTCGTGATTTGTAATGTATGAGGCGTCCATAATGCCATTCACAAGACAGAGCAGCCCCCACAGACAGACACCATCAGAGCCCAAGAGAGAGAAGGATGGGCAGTAAGTTAGGTTTTGTATTTTCCGTTATTGGG